ACTAACAAAATAAAATTCAATGGTGAAAAAAGTAAGGTTCTACATTTAGGCAAGAAAAACTAAATGCACAAGTACAGCATAGGTGGCACCATGCTCAATAGTAGTAACTGTGAGAGGGACCTCGGAGTCCTAGTAGACAATCACCTAAATATGAGCCAGCAGCGTGCTGCAGCTGCCAAAAAAGCCAACACAGTGCTAGGCTGCATTAACAGAGGGATAGAATCAAGATCACATGAAGTACAAATGCCACTCTACACTGCCTTGGTAAGGCCACACTTGGAATACTGCATCCAGTTTTGGTCACCACGATGTAAAAAAAGTGTTGAGACTCTAGAAAGAGTACAGAGAAGAGCAACAAAGATGATTAGGGGACTGGAGGCTAAAACATATAAGGAACGGTTGCTAGAATTGGGTATGTCTAGTTTAACGAAGAGAAGGACAAGGGGGGACATGATAGCAGTATTCCAATATCTCAGGGGCTGCCATAAAGAAGAGGGAATCAAACTATTTTCCAAAGCACCTGAAGGCAGGACAAGAAGCAACGGGTGGAAACTAATCAAGGAAAGAAGCAACCTAGAACTAAGGAGAAACTTCCTGACAGTGAGAACAATTAATCGTGGAACAACATGCTCCAGAAGCAGTAAATGCTCCAACATGGAAAGTTTTTAAGAAGAGACGGGACAGCCATTTGTCCAAAAATGGTCTGTGTAGGTTTTCTGCCTGAGCAGGGGGTTGGACTAGAGACCTCCAAGCGTCCCATTCCAACTTATTATTATTATCATTCATCGCACAGTCAGCCAGATGTCAGAATGGAGTTGGCCATTTTGTCTACTACTGAGTCCTTACCCAGGACCATTGGGGGGGGATAGGCAGTTGTGGATTTTGGTTTTTTGATTTTTTGGTATTACAGGTAAATCGTCGCAGGATGGAAGCAGGCACGAATTAAGCCGCCTTTTGCAATTGACTATAGCAAATTTGTCAAAATTCACAATGGTGTTCAAGTGGTGCTCCAGTTGTTTTTGGATTGCACCCAAGGAGCCTATTACTATTGGTACTACCCTTGCTTGCTTTTGCCACAGTCTTTTTATTTCTATTTGTAGGTCTTTGTATTTTGTTATCTTCTCCAGTTCTTTCTCATCTATTCTGCTGTCTCCAGGCACTGCCACATCCACTATCCAGACTTTTTTGTCTTTCTATCGACAATTGTTAAGTCTGTGGTGTTATGTTGCAGGTGCTTGTCTGTTTGAATTCTGAAGTCCCAGAGCAGTTTAATTTTATCATTTTCTATGACTTTCTCTATTTTATGATCCACACCAGTTTTTGCTTACAGGCAAATGATATTTTTTGCAGATCTTCCAATGCACCATTGTTGCTACTTTGTCAGGCCGCTGCTTGTAATCAGTCTGTGCAATCTTCTTGCAACAGCTTACCAAGTGGTCCACTGTTTCTTCAGCTTCTTTGCATAGGCGGCACTTACTGTCTGTTGCTGTCTTCTCAATTTTGACTTTGTATGCATTTGTCCTTAAGGCTTGGTCTTGTGCAGCCAGAATTAGTCCCTCGGTCTCTTTCTTCAATTTTCCTGCTCTTAGCCATTGCCAGGTTTTATTATTATCTGCTTTCCCAGCTATTTTTTTAATGTATTGGCCATGTAGTGCTTTGTCTTCCCATGCCTCTATTCTGTTCTTCATTTGGTCTTTCTTGTAGGCCAGTTTGGTCTCTCCAGTAGTTAGTAAGCCTTCCTGATATACTAATTTCAGTGCATCTTCATCATTGTTCTTCAGATATTCTTCCAAAGTCATTTTTTCTTCTTCAACCATCTGATGTACTTGTAGCATTCCACGCCCACCTATTTGCCTTGGTAGATAAAGTCTATCAATGTCACTGCGTGGATGAAGGGCATGATTCATTGTCATTATTTTTCTGGTCTGCCTATCCATTGCTTTTAGTTCTGCTTGAGTCCAGTCCACTATTCCAGCTGTGTACCTAATGACTGGGATTGCCCAGGTGTTGATTGCCTTTATGGTATTTCCTCCATTGAGTTTGGATTTTAAGATCTTCTTCACTCTCTTGATGTATTCACCTCTAATCTTTTTCTTGACTTCAGTGTGCTTGATGTTGTCAGCTTGAAGGATACCCAAGTATTTGTAGTACTCTTCCTCATCCAGACTCTTAATGTTATTTTCGTGGGGCATCTTGATTCCTTCAGTTTTCACTATTTTTCCTTGTTTGATAGTAAGTGTGGCACATTTGTCCAAGCCAAACTCCATTACAATATCTTGGCTATATATACGGACAGTGTTGAGCAGCGATTCTATTTCAGATGATGTTTTTCCATACAGCTTCAGATCATCCATGTAAAGGAGGTGGGATAGTCTGGCAGATGTTTTTGATGTTTGATAGCCATGTCCTGAGTTATTCAGTATTGTTGACAGAGGAAACAGTGCAATAACAAATAGTAATGGTGATAATGAATCTCCTTGAAATATTCCTCTCTTGATATTAACCTCTCCCAGCTTTCTCACCATTGATCTGCAACTGTGTCTTCCATTGTGCCATCGATCTTTGCACAAATTTTCTGATGTTTCTACTGACTCCTGTTATTTCTAGGCACTTGATTATCCAATCATGTGGCAGAGAGTCAAATGCCTTTTTGTAGTCAATCCATGCCACATTCAGGTTGGTCTTCCTTCTCTTGCAGTTTTCCAAGATCATTTTGTCTATTAGGAGTTGATCTTTTGTTCCTCTGCTATTGGGGCGGTTTCCTTTCTGCTCAGGTGGAAAGAGATTGTTTTCAACTAGATGCTGTTGTACTGCATCAGCTACCACACCAGTTAGTAATTTGAATGTTGTTGGCAAGCAGGTAATTGGCCTGTAGTTACCTGGTGTTGCCCCTTTTGCTGGATTTTTCATTATTAGGTAGGTTTTCCCAGTTGTTAGCCACTTTTCAATTTCTCCTCCTTGTAGTATATTGTTGAACTGTTTGGCAATGAGTGGGTGTATAACAGTTAGATGTTTCAACCAAAACCCATGCAGTTCATCTTCACCTGGTGCTGACCAATTTTTGATTTTCTTTGCTCTTTTTTCTACCATTTTTGTTGTTATTACTAGTTCTTTCATTTCAACTTCTGTTTTATTTGCATCCACCTCTTTTAACCAAGCCGCATCCTTGTTGTATTTCTTTGGGTTATCCCATATCTGCTTCCAGAATTGCACTGTTTCTTCCTTGTCAGGTACTGACTGATTCCTTGCAGTTTCTCCATTGATGGATTGGTAGAAACGTTTCTGATTGGATTGAAATTGGAGGTTCTGCCTATAGTTTGCAATTCGAGCTTCATATCTACTGATTTTCCTGGCTATAGCTGTTATTTGTTGCTTTATTATTTCCAGTGCTTCCTTGATCTTCCTTGTTTCTAAGTGGTATTTCTTGATTAGGTATTCTTTGGTCTTCTTGTTCTTCAGCTTCTTTTCTTTCATCTGTTCTAGCTTGCTTGCATGTGATCTTAACTTGCTGATCTTATTTTCTAGTCTAACCTTCCATTTTTCTGGTGCACTGTTTGTTTGTTTTTCTTTTTTGTTGATTTTGCATCCCAGGTATTCTGTTATAACTGCAGCTGTGCTGTACATTAGTTGGTTTGTTTCTTGCAGTGAATTGGTGCTTATACTTGCTATTGCAGTATTTGCATCTTTTAATGCTTGTGCTAGCTGTTTCTTTGGAACAAGCTTCAATGCAGGCAGCCTTATTCTGTTGTTTTTGTGCTGTTCTAGATGCTCAGTTATTCTTTGTTTCAATTCTTTTATTTCTTTAGTTAGAGGGTTTTGTTCTTCCTGAGGAAGAGGTGCCTGGTTTCCAAATGAGAACAGTTGTATATCTCTGCTGGATTCCTTCACTGCCAACTCCCCCTGGTTTGCCTCTACATTCTGAATTACTTCTGGTAAGGCTTTGATTTCTTTGCCCTGGGTAAACCTTTGCAGTTCGTCCAATTCTGTTTCTGTGAATACTTTATTTCGTGTTATAAATCGGCGTTGATCTGCTAGTCTCTGTTCTGTTATTTCTGATTCTGGATGTTGTTCTTTCCAGAATTGGTGCATTCGTTTTAGATATCCTCGTCTTGTTGGACTTGATCTGTAGTAACAGATCATTATTTCTTTGTTTTCCATCACTGTGTATCTGCGACGGGTAAACACCTTTTCTTCCAGTAGTTCTGCAGCTGCTGGCCCTGGTTGCTCAGCCAACAGTCCTGAGTCCTGTAACCCATTTTTCACCAGATATCCAGGAACTCCAATATCTAGCGCGGACCTTGTTAACCCGGGCGACGTCCGAGCCGGTATGGCATTCTGAAATTTACGTCTCACCATATTTTTTATGGGAGAGACACTCTTTGTCTGACTCCTCTGATGAGACCTGTCCAGTATGGTTGAACCTCTGGCATAGCTCTCATCTTCCTCAGAGTACACAAGCCCCACAACACGTCAAGGTAGTGCCTCACTGGGGGATTATTATTATTATTATTATCATTCATCGCACAGTCAGCCAGATGTTCAGACTGGATTTGGCATTTTGTCTACCTATCGAGTCCTTACCCAGGACCTGGGATAGGCAGATGTGGATGTTTGATGGTATTACAGGTATCGTCGCAGGATGGAAGCAGTTCCTAATAAGGCCGCCTTTTGCAATTGACTAATAGCAAATTTGTCAATGCCAATGGTGTTCAAGTGGTGCTCCAGTTATTATTATTATTATTATTATTATTATTATTATTATTATTATTATATGGGTGTTGGACTTGAGCAGGGGATTGGACTAGAAGACCTCCAAGGTCCCTTCCAGCTCTATTCTGATTGATTGATTGAAGCTAAGAGCCCAGTAGAACCCTTAGATTGTAACTCACGTTCATTATGGGAAACAGAAGTTCAACTTGAGCCTGTGTTGGATTAGGTTCTGAATCAGGAGCTACTTCACCTTGTCAGGGTTAAATCTCAACTTCTTTCTCCCCATCCAGAGCCTTGTCCAAGGTCACCCATCTTTCATGCCTCCTGAACGTGAGTCAAGACACAACTCTTAGTCTGCAATAGAGATATATAGTGAGTATTCTGCATACTGAGGATCCAAACCCCCAAACTGTTAAAAGATCTCTCCCAATAACTTTATATACACTTGTTAAATAAAATTGGTAAGAAAGTCAATCCCTGTGGCACCGCATATTGGAAAGCTTGATATCTCCTCCCTCCTTACACTAGTAAAGTTGGCAACTATCAGAGTGAAACTACAGAATCATGGCCCTTGTAGACAGGTCAGAAGCATATAATGGATGGCAATGACCACCAAAAGATCTAACAAGACTACTTGCCTCCCACTCCTCCATAAGCTCTGATATATATCACCAGTGAGAGCAACCATTGTGGTTCCTGTCCCATACTTTGGCCTGAACCTTGACCGAAAGAAATCTAGATTATCTATTTCTTCCATAGCCTTCTGCAGTTTTCATCCTGCCTCTTTCTCAACAGCTGTCCCTAAAATGGGAATATTAGACACTAGGTCTTATCATTCAATACATCTACGTCCAGCTGACCACTTTAGTCCTTTTCAAAGACATTTTTCCTCCCACAATGATATACTATATTCACAATCCAGCCTGCAACCTCATGCCCACCCCAACAGCACAAGCCAGGTGAGGAAGGGATTTAGCCCACACATGACAGAGTTTATTGGTATTCCCAAAAAAAACCCCTGAGTGTCCCTAGATTAAATGATCTCAAATAGCTGGGCTACTACATTAAATAATAGCAATTTGCATTGAAGTATTTAAAAACAATTATAAGGAAATATTTACTAGGACTATGCAATCTGGGTATCAGAAAACATTGCTGATGTTAGTTCCATTTACAAATGACATCTTTGTATTTTAAATGTTTAATAATGTTGTGTTTAGAACAGAATAAAAATTCTATTGATTTAGTCATCTGACCATATCTAACACTGTCTTTAAAATGTGCATTTAAATGCTGGAAGCAGAAGGCTCAGTGAGTTTTTGTGACACAATCAGATTTCACATCTGTGTTGTTTTCTGATGCGTTGGCCAAATAAATTGCTCTCTGTTCCCTCTTAGTTTGTATAATAGCTAGTGAGGTTCCTGCTGAGTTTACTTCAAATGGATTTTACAACAAAGGTATCATGAATCTAAAGATGGCTTATATTTCAGTCCACTTGACAATGTGTGTTTCCTATTCTAATGTAAAATATAGACCAAATGATTGGTGCAAAGTTCTTCTTGGGCCTTTCTCTGGTCACTGACAAAAACCTGGGATCTTTCTCTGGTCAGCATATAGTAGCTGACTGGATTGGCTCCTCAATCTGAGAGAATGCTTCAGACAGACCATGCATTTTGGCCAACTCTCTCCTTTAACAGAAGCAAATGGTCCATTAATACTTCCCTTCTTCTCACATTTGGCTTCTTCAGCTGATTATTTCACTCAGCCTAATAGTAGGACTGGCCAACAAAGTTAATAAACTAAAGAGGATGTTTTTATTCACCTTTGAAACACAATGGAAAGAAAAAAGGAAGAGGTTATTATGTTAGGTCTATCATGGGTCTAAGCCAGTGATGGACAGATGATACATGCCCTTGTATGCCAACTCCCAATTCCACAGTCAGCAATATGGCGGGAATATTAGAATAGCTCGGAGACATCTGGAAGGTCACGTATTCTTCATTCTTTTCCTAAACATTTTATAGGATAAATCAACTCAAGACATTGGGAGTTCAACTGGGAAAGTACATTTCTTTACTAATTCAGGGTGTACAAATAGTTCTTGACTTACAACAATTTATTTAATGACCATTCTAAGTTACAGCAGCACTGAAAAAAGTGACTTATGGCTGTTTTTCACATCGTTACAGCATCTCCATAGTCACGGGATCAACATTTGGATGCTTGGCAACTGGCGTGTATTTATGATGGTTGCAGTGTCCCGGGGTCATGTGATCATCTTTTGTGATGAGCAAAGTCAACGGGGAAGCCAGATTTTTTTAAACAATCATGTTAGTAATTTAACAATTGCAGTGATTCACATAACAACTGTGGGCAGAAAGGTCATAAAACAGGGCAAAACTTACTTAATAAATGCCTCAACAGAAATGGGATCAATTGTGGTCGTAAGTCAAGAGCTACAGTACCTGTTTTCTTTTTTACCACACTTTGAAGCAGTCTGTCCTTGTCCTGTTATGTTTCATGTTTCATCGTGTTTTACTTATTTAGTCTACTGACTGGAGTCTGAGCCTTTGCCATGCGTAGATTTTTTTTGTATTCATCTGTAGTCTTTTGGTACAGATTATCCCCAAACTTGGATAATGTCTACCCCCTTAGTGGTGACACATCATCTGAGAGAGAACCCAGAGATGGCAGAACATTTCCTCTTTTGTGGCTCTACCTTGTCTGAGATTATTGAAGAAACAGAATACATTAAAAAGGTATGGATTTTTGTATGAACACATAACAAAGCAGATCCACTGGTCTATGCAGTTCGCCAAAATGACTGGAAATGATTGACCAAGATCTCAAAGGAAAGTTAGCTCAGTTATTAAGATCCTTTTAATTGTGTGTGTGTGTGTGTGTGTGTGTGTGTATCCCCCACACACATACAAATACTGACTTGCATACTGTGTATAGATCAAGAATATTAGAAGTCTGGAAATCAAGTGCTACCAGGAAGAAATATGTTGGGTATGTTTAGCCTTGAGAATTAAAAACTGAGCGGTGGAAAATATAATCTTCTCCTTCACTGTCTTAGAATGCAGGATACAAAATAATTATTTGAAATTACAGGAAGGCAGATCCTGGTTGTTGAATATTAGAAAAAAACAGTGGATAATTTGACAGTGGGACTGTTTTCTAGAAGAGGTCATTGCTGAATGTCTTCAAACAGTGATTTGTCATGGAGTTTAAATTCCTGCTGTGAGCAAAAGATTGAGACCTCCTTGTTCTGTTTGCTTAATTTTAAGTTTTTAAAACATTTTAACGAATAAAATGAATGGCCACAGAAAGGGAAAAAGAAGAGGGAAGAGAGCACAATGTATAGAAAATGACTTATCAGTAAACAGAGACTTTATCATTGTCATAACATTTAAAATACATTATTTCATTTTTTCAATGATTACTGAATAATTGAATACAGGTAGTCCTCCACTTAGGACCGATCACTTAGCGACCATTTGAACTTATGAAGGACCTCCTTGGAGATACTGATGACGTGGTTCTGAAGTTCTGACAGCCAGCCTCCTCTTGCAATCATGTGATCACATTGCAGGCGCTCAGCAGGCCTTTTGCAGCATCCCATGGTCATGTGATCACATTTTAATGACAGTTTTGCCTAAAACTAGCATTTATTTTCAGTGTTCGGCAAAAAAAGGCCCATAGCACTTAATGGCCATGGTGTTCGTTTAACAACTGACTCAAAAAAAATATTGAAATTGGGTCAGTCATAGGGTGACTCAGTTTATAACTGTCACAACTTACAAACCTGTTGGTCAGATTCCACTACGGTCGTAAGTCAAGGACTACCTGGTATAGAAAAATATTATAAGAGCTGTGGGTGAATGCAGCACTGCAGGCTACTTCCGCTGACTGCTGGCTGCAGCAGTTCAACAGTTCAATCCTGACCAGCTCACGGTTGACTCAGCCTTCCATCCTTCCGAGGTCAGTAAAATGAGGACCCAGATTGTTGGGGGCAATAGGCTGACCCTGTAAACAACTTAGAGAGGGCTGTAAAGCACTGTGAAGCGGTATATACATCTAAGTGCTATTGCTATCATACTGAGAAATGACCAAGTTACTACAAAACTACAAAATCACTACAAAACATTAATATATTGATGTCACCACTGTTTATCGTTATTTAAAATAAATGCACATGAGCTTACAAAAAAAATAAATATGAAAAACAACTAAAAAATCTTAAGCCCTGACTGGTATTAATGTTATTCATAAACATTAAAACAGCTTCTTGGTGCTACCTTTACATCAGACATCAAACCATAAGCATCTCAGCTTGCTTTTTTCCTGCAGATTCGTTCCACGCTAGCAAAAGTTCAGCCTCTGTTATACAAAAAGGAATGCAACCATAGCATTGCAAATGGCATGCTGGATTCAAAGGTATGAAAGATTTTCTTTATTTTCCAGACCAATAAGGTAGATCTGTTCTGCACAATAGCATGGATGACCTTCCGACTTGTACTAGCCACTCAGTAGCCAAGTTATATTCATCAGACCAATCCACTTTTAACCGGTACTCAGTGCCCTGCAACAGTTACCAAATCTATACTATCCTTTAAATTTGTCCTGTTTTTCTTTCCTTTGAAATGACCAAGGATAGATACAAATGAGGGTGAAGGTTCATTGTGTGTGGGTTGATTTCTGAACGTTTCATTACCAAGCTAAGTAACGTCTTCAGTGGAGTTTAGGGTTTAAACTCTGCTGAAGCTGTTACCTAGCCTGGTAACAAAACGTTTGATCCACAAGCTCAGAAAATGAAGCTTCATCCTATCCTTATCCTACACCTGAGCTACAGAAATTCACCACTATTGCATAGGTACAAATGCTGCAAAAGTATTGGTTACCCTCAACCTTTTCCCCCAAGAACCCCCAAATCAGTTCCTCTTTGGGAAAGAGAAACAGCTGAGCTGCCATGTGGCCTTCCTATACAAAGGTGCCATCCTGGAAGCGGGCACCCTTTTGGGAGCATTTCCAATGTTTGAATTTCAAGAATTTTGGCTGCTCCCAAAATGGTGTCTACTCTAGGATGGCTTTTCTATAGGAAGGCTGCAAGGTGCATCTGTATTTCTCCTTGGGAAAGTTGATCTTCGGAAGACTGAGGCATGATGGGGCAGGAAGCAGGCCCAACACTTATGGGGACCCAGCCCTTTGGGAAATAGAACCAAGAGCCCCAGAGGGACAAGATGGGGGGGGGAACATAGACAAGTAGGGCAGCTGAAGCATCTCTATGGTTGGATATAAAGGTAAGCAGATTGCCAAGCACCTAAATTTTGTTTAGGTCACCGCAGGAGTATAGCAACAACCACAACTTTGGGTATAGGTGTAAGTTCCTTTGTTCAGCACCATCATAATTTTGAATAGTTGCTGAATGAATGGTCATAAAGTCTTTCAGTAATGGTTTGAGTGCTTGATACCATTCCAAGGATCTAAAAAACTACTTGCCATATGATAGAATGGACAGAATCTCCACACATCAGTTTCAAAATTCACATACTTGGAATGGCAGAATATTTCAATAGTGTTCTAGATAATTAGGAAGGATCGTCCCAAAGATGCTTTTTCCAAAGTACTGAAGAAGCTTCTTGGATGAGAAGCAAAACGTTTTCAAAAGCAAAAAAAAAAAAAAACCCAAGAAAGTCCAGTTGCCTTTTGGAGACAGCACCTTTTGGACAACCATGACCTGGATGATTAAGAAACTCCATAGACACTTGGGAATGATCCAGTGATCAAAAGTACCAAATCTAGTCAGAACCATCTGGTGGATTATATGTAAATAAGAACAACAACAATACTTTCAGCATTAACTCCTGGACGTTGTCTGGACTAGTTCCTGTAGTTTTCTTTGCAAGATTTGCAAAAATGCCTTTCTGTTTCTTTCTTCTTACAGCTGAAACAGAAGGACTGGTCCAAGGTCCACTTACCTGGTTTCATGTCTAAGGCAGAACTAGAATGTAGGATCTCTGGTTTTCTAGCCCAGTGTGTTATCCACTGCATCAAACTGACTCTTGATAATGCATTACTGTGGCTACTTGCCCTTCTGCATGGAGAAGTGAATGAGATTTACTGAGTAATGCCCATTTCTTGATTCTCTCCAATTTTACCAAACTCAACCTGCCCCTGTACATTTTAAAAAAAAGCTGCTAAGGGGACTATGGTACTCCATAACTCATGTGCTGCACATTTTGTCACACTAAAAAAAAATAGCCATATTCACAATTTGTCCTATGACTCTGGTGCTCATTAAGCAAAAGTTACAGGTTCTTACGAGTTCAGTGTTCATAAAGCATGTGAAGGCATTTTTGGCTTTTTACATGCCTCATGCCCCTGGTCTGCAAACCTTGGCAGAATGAGTTTGCAGCCTGATGCATTCTTCCAAGTACTAATTAATCTTGTAGGCAGAGAAGATTGCCCTAAGGGAATTGGGGCTGTTATTTATCAGGTCTGTTCTGCTAATGCTTTCAAAAGTAAAACCCAGGGGAGCTGAGCAAATAGAACATGATATTTTACTGCATGGGTTGAGAGGTGAAAAAAAGTATTTTTTTGCTAGAAGTTTAAATTCCCCTGGGTTCAGTTCATGGATGAAAGTACAGGTGGAATATTTGGCCTTAAAATCCATGCTGTTTATTTTCCAGTGACATCTGACTATCACTCACTCAGGTCTAGTCTAAAGATGTCACAGAACATGCAGTTGCATTGAGCATAAGAAAAATGGAGGCCCTAAAAGCAGAGCAACTGGCAGAAGTGAGTAATGGGTAGAATCTCAGGAAATGATGGCAAAAAGGCAGCTACTTCCATCATTTCACCATTGAGAAAGACATATTAGCCAATGGGTTGAATGTGGTGGCAGGATTATGGGCAGAACAGTCTACTCACTGGGTAAGTCAGCTTCCTGTTAGTCAGGGGCAATATCAGGCTACTGCAGAGAAAATGTCTAGACCAAATGGATCACCATTTTTTTTATTACCAACATTTTGAAGGTGAATTGCTACAACCATTGCAATATATGATGAACTCTGTTTGGCAAGACACCTGACATTGGGTAGAGGCCAATACATAATACGTTAATTCTGGATTTGACCTCACCGACAAATTATCACCCGATATCATTACTGAATAATGGTTATAAGCTATTTACAATGATTTCAGCTGAGAAAATGAAGATAGTTTTACAGGACTTTGTTTATGAAGATCACTATGTATTTTTAACCTAAAGGGCAGTTGCTGGATAATATTAGAAGTATATTGGACCTTTTGGAATAGTTGGAGTAACAGTGAAAGTTAAGCAGCACTGAATTTTCATGATGCAGAAAAAGCCTTTAATAATTTGAATGGGACTTTCTTGTTTAAAATTTTGGAAGATATGAAATTTATTTTTATCTTATATCCTATATTCCTGTAAATAATTCAAAGCAGGGAACATATCTCATACTCTTTCCTCTTCCTATTTTACCTATAACAACAGTCTTGTGAATTGTGACTTTGGTGAGAATTTTATCAAATGGGTCATTTGCTTATCAAAAGTATATGGCAATGATTTATGCTTCAGAAAAGGCAAAGATAATTGTGAATGGGGAATCAACAAAATCTTAAGCAATAAAGAAGGGGAGTAGACTAGGATGTTCCTTGTCACCACTGTTATTTGTTTTAGCTTTGAAAGTTTTGAATGGAGATATAAGGCAAGAAAGGAATAGAAATACTAATGGAAAAATTAAAGGATTTGGGGATTAACTGACTTTAAAATTAGCAAACAAAAGACCAAGAAAATGATAACAAAAGAAAGATCAAACTGCTGTGGTTATTCTTCTAAGAGTTTTACCACACGATGAATAGTATTGTTCTGTTTTCAGATTATTTTAGGGGGGCAAAGATTTATTTTCTCTAATGCAGGGTGTTTCATTTTCCACTATCTCAGTGTGCAGGAATCCAGATGTAATATTAAAGCTAAAGCTTCATGTGGGATGGGATTTCAAACTAGTGTTCCACTAGACCAGGGGTAGGCAACCTTGGCCCTTTTATGACTCTTGGACTTCAACTCCCATAATTCCTGAGGCAGCATGGTTCAGCTTGGAAACCTCTCCTTTTCCCCTCAGCATGGCTGGCTTAGGAATTCTGGGAGTTGAAGTCCACGAGTCATAAAAAAGCCAAGGTTGCCTACCCCTGCACTAGACCTCTAAATTTCTTGAACTAAGTCATCTGCGCATATGAACCTAGGAAGTTGTTATATACAACTTGGGAGTGGTAAAGAGGCCTTGTGGATGAAATAAGGGCAGAGCTTTGATTCTTTCCAGTCTATCCAGACACTAGGTGAAAAATCATGCATCCCTTTCATCCATAGACATTCAGAATAAGCCACAGTGACATCTCTATACAAATTATGTAATTTGCATTTTTTGCATGGTGGCAACATGACACACAGGTAGTCCTTGATTTACAAGAGTTCATTGAGTGACCCTTTGAAGTTACAATGGCACTGAAAAAAAATGACCTTTGACCATTTTTCACACAACCATTGCAGCATCCAAATAATCAAAATTCAGACACTTGGCAACTGACTCATAGTTATGACAATTACAATGTCCTGGGATCATCTGATCATCTTTTGCAACTAGCAAGCAAAGTCAATGGGGAAGCCAGGTTCACTTAACAACTGGGTTACTAATTTAACAGCTGCAGTGATTCACTTAACAACTGTGGCAAGAAAGGTTGTAAAATGGGGAAAAGCTCACTTAGCAGCTGTCTCACTTAGCAACTGAAATTTTGGGCATAATTATGATTGTAAATTGAGAACTACCTGCATATGATATCCTTCCCAACTCCCAACCTGCACCTATACATTCATCATTTGCTGTCGTCACTCTTCCCCAATCTCTCAATGACTAATCAGCATAAATATACTCTTTAAGGGGAAGCATAATAAATCTGACACATCGTAGTTTATTTATTAGATTTATACTGCAGTTTTATTGTACAGTTTGTTCAAGGTCGCATGCATAATGCTTCTGCCTCCTATTTTGCTATTGAATAGTATTCAGGACAACTTAGGTAGGAAAAAAGGAATGTTTTACTACTATAAAGAAGTAATATAAAAGGGTCTTAATCATGGATGATAGAGCTTTCAACACATAATCAAAGGGAAACTTTGGAATTGCTGGAGTATTCTAGTGTCAAATTATATTTCAAAATTAGGGTTGCTTAGAAAAATATTCCTGTTTGCTTTTCCACCCTGGGAAATCAAATGAGGGAAATAAAGGCTCTGAAAGACCTCATGTTGTTTTCAGTGTGGCATGGGTATATGTATTATGGATTAACCATTCTTCCATTAATAAAAAAATATAGCATGCATGGAATTTTGCTACATTTTTACATCAAGTTTTGGTAACCATGCACACAAGAGAATATACTCATTAAATTTCAGCATTGTGCAGTTTTATTAAGATTTCAAAGAGTTTGAATGAATAACAAACTGTATCTGTCACTTGCAGCAAATTGTAGAAACCAATTTAGTTAAAGGCAGGCAGAGTAAAAAAAAAGGACAAAGAGAAAAATTGCAGAAGCAAGAAGAGTTGATTCACCTTTATTTTTTTTCTTCATTTTAGCTACATTTTACAGAATCTGAATTGGTCCCTGATGAAGAGACGCTCTCTTCTAACAACAAAGAGACCTTAAATAGAATAAAAAAAGTTGAAGAAGAATTATTATGGGTGAACAAAGAAAATGAAAGGCTAAAGTTCAAGGTGTGCTTTAATTTTTGGAATTTCAAAAAAGTACTGTTGTGTCTTTAATACAGGAGATAAATTTGTATTTAAGATTAGTTTTGAAAGTTATTCAATTCTTTATTGGTTTTGAAGCTAATCCAAAACATACAAAAGATTGAAGTGATAAACTATTTTTATTATTTTATTTATTAAACTAGCTGTTTCCGGCCATGCATTGCTGTGGCTCAGTCTGGTTAAATGGAAAAGAAAGAAAAGAGAAAGCGCACGTTTGTAATATGTTTAATTTCACAATGCTTGTGGGTGTACAATATTTTTTGTTGTTCCATTGTCTGTGCAGATATAGAGATTGTCTGAAATTGTAGCGTGTGTTGCTTTTATGTCCAACAGATGGTGCTGTTTTTCACAAAAAACATGTTTTTACCTGTCACAGGTGTGAAATCTATATAATATAGGTATATAAAAACACGCGCATATTTGAATGCAACGTTGTGTCAAAATTTCAAAGCAATCGGTGAAGAACTTTCAGAGATTTAAGATTTTGAACAAATGAACATTTACATTTTTATTTATATAAGATACTGGGTGGTTTACAAAAAAAACAAAAACAATATAAAGCAACCAAAGAGTGGAACAAATTAAAACAATTTTTAAAACGGCATATAGAAAAATCATTATAAAAATGTTACAAAATTCAGTCAAATTCCGTAACTGAAGGAGCAGGGGAAAATATTACAAGACTGAAAATTGCTCCCTCTAAGAAATATTCTTTGTATTTTAAAGAAGAGCCACTGATCCTTTTCCTTCAACATGCTTACCAAAAAATGGGTCAATTAATCCAGTTTATTAAACACCAAAAGATTAAATTTGATTCCAAACAGAGCATATCATGCCCAGAGTGAACTAATCCTCCCTTGTCAGTTAATGTTCTAAATAAACATACATTTGAAGAACTGGCCTGTTTGTAATTTGATCCTCCAGGAAAATAGCTGGAGAGAAAGAATGGATGTAATGGAATGTATGGATGACCTTGGGCAACGAGAGGAAGAGATTCTGCCTAAGAGACAATCAGACAAGAGAGGTAGGAACCCGCAGTGGCTTAACACTCAGAGAAAGAAACTAAGGAAGAACACACCCTAATGGGGGTCTAGGACAACTCATAATGGCCAACTCACCATGGCCAACTCACCATAGCCAACTTACCATGATGTCAAAATTAAGGAATCTTCAAGACTTTGAAGTGCCATAAAAGATAACTTTATTGAATACACATCTCGGAACTGAAGAAGCAAAACCAGCTCTGTTTCTCCCATGTGAAAATCTGCCTAGTTAACAATAGCTTCCCATAACCCCCACTCGCCAAGTGTTCACATTGCCCAATCTTACTTCTTTGGTTTGTTATGAGAACGGTCCACTTCTCCGTCAGACACCTGCATAAGTGACCTTGGCTCTTATGGTCCGTGCATGGCTTCTTAGACTCCCGTTTTCTTCTCATGCTTCCTACCCCTCCCCCTATTTCTATGGCAAGTTGAGTAGTGATAGAAGTTAGCAGGCATCTTAGCAATTCAACCTTGACATGGTCAACTCACTATAGAACAACTCGCCATGGGACAACTCACCGTGGGACAATTTAATGGTGTATTAATCGTTTCATCAGTTAGTGTTATTATTGGTGGCCATGTTTTGGTTGAAATTATTGTAATCCTTGTATTTCTGGATTGACTTTCTTTATTGTAATTGGCCACGGTTCCATTGAAATTAATTTAACTTTTGTATTTGTTGAATTGTCGTCTGGCAATTTGTCCTGTGGCGAGTTGGCTGTGGCGAGTTGTCCCATTCTGCCCTAATGCAGGTGGCAGTTAAAAGTGAAGAGTGGGAAGTTTGTACTTACAGATTTATAGAATTCTGTTAATGTAGCCTTACAATAAAGCAGAATTAGTCCATCTAGTTGAGTTTCTGGTTTGGTTTATCTGGGAGGGCTGACATCAACCTCTGACTTCCTTCTCCCCATTGACTTACCTTGTAGGAAAGTGGCAGGGAGTGTTGGAAATGATGATTCTACGATTGCAGCTAACTGCACAGTATGGCAACCACAATTTTGCCAAATTACAATTCATGGGAGTCATGGCTCCCAAATTTTGGACACATTCTGTAAGTTGGCAAATTTGAGGCATGTTGGTTTAAAACTTGGTTGCCCTATGATGCAATATTTTGTCCAACTGAAGCTTACCAACAATCAAACACAAGAGTTTTAGTAGTAGACAGAACTAATAGCGAGCTGGTGAAGTGATACCAAATGATTTTTAAAAATGATGAGCCCAGAGAAATCTTTTAAAACTGAGTAACTGATCAACCAAATAGCAAATGCTATTAAATGTAAGTAAGTGTAAAGCAATGCTCGCTGGGGTAAAACCTTCTTATCTGAGATTCATATTAATTTAGGATTCTGTAACTAACAAGGAGAAAGAATTTGGGTTACAGTAGGTAGCACAATGAAGATGTCAGCAACCCCCCCTGCTTGAATCATTAGGCGAAGAATTGAAAATAAAAATACCAGGATTGGTAATGCCTTTATAGAACTTTGTGGTATGTTTACAGCTGGAGTAAAATGCATAATTCTGGATACCATAATTGAGAAACAATATAAGAGAGTCATTAAAAAGTGGAAAAGAGGACAACTGAATGATCAGAAGGATTGAACACTTTCCGTATGAAAGTGTTTCACTTTTCTTATATTTGTACGTTCACTTTTGAAAACAAAAAATCTTAAAAAAAAAAACCTTTTTCACGCAGAATCTATTACTATCCAATACGGTGATGGCCACTAACAATGGCACTGAAAAAAGTAGCTTATGACCGTTTTTCACATTTACAAGTATTGTAGCATCCCCAATGAAAATTCAGACATTTGGCAACTGGCTCATATTTATGATATTTGCAGGATCGTCGGGTCATGTGATCCCCTTTTGTGATCTTCTGCCAAGCAAAGTCAATGGGGAAGCCAGAGTCACTTAACAACCATGTTACTAACTTAACAACTGCAGTGATTCACTTAATGACTGTGGCAATAAAAGTCACAAGACAAAACTCACTTAACACCTGTATTGCTTAGCAACAGAAATTTTGGGCTCAATTGTGCTCATAAATCAAGGAGAATTGGTGGCTTTAATAGTGGATTAAATGGAGGATAAGTCTATTAAAGTGTGTTAGTCTGACTTTTCAGTGTTACCTCCATGGAGGGGATAACTTACTTGCAAATACCAGATGCAGGGAGAAAATTAGGAGAGAAGTGCATTCTGTTTCTAAGCATTTAAAGATATTTGGTTGGCCACTATGAGAAACAAAATGCTGGATGGAAACCTGGTATAAAATTTCAACTATATGAGAGAATACAATAATACTTTCTGAGATCTAGAAGTATTTCCAGTGCTATGCTTAGACTGAGGCTGGATTGATTACCATCAAAATGAAAGCTTAGTAACAAACCATATTTTACCATCTCAGAGTCTGTTTCCCAAAGAGCTTCTACACCTCTTATAAATTTAAATCTAGATAATATATAGCAATAACTAGCAAACCTCCCTTGGCATGTCCCCTGATTTGCTTATGGGTTATAACAATGTCATGGAGCTTATTAAACAAAGGCTAGAAAATATTGAGCTTAACTTAGAAAGAACCTCCAAGTTATGGTGTCATCTTCTTAATGAATTAAAGGAACCACAACCTGCACATTATTTAAATTAGTCTATATCCACTACTAATGGGTATTTTTCTAGAACACATTTTATTGCTTTCCCTTCTGTAATTATGGATGGCAGATAAAAAGGAAATCCCTGTAGCGCTTAAGCAATGTGCTTGAACTTTGGTGAACCGGAAACCCTAGAACTTTTTTTTTTTTTTTTACATAGAGTTTATTGAGAACTGCTCTGCCAGTTTGATGAAGTCCTTTCTTAGCTGTAGGAAGCAAACAATGGAAAACCTTGCCCAAAAAACTGCAGGGATTTGTCCAAGTAGTAGCCAGGAACCAAGAATGACTTGAAGATACACATGTACAACACAACAAACACACAAATGAAAATACTCCCTGACCACCTTGATCAATGGTATCTAGAAGTTTTTTTAAATGATTGATGTCTTGAAACCACCACCACCCTTTTTAATTGCTACATTTTGTGCCTTAGCCATAAGGCTGCATCTTATCTAGATCTGTTAATAAAAATATACCGAAAAGTAGAACCAATGATCATGGAGGAATGACGAACTGGTGAGTAGACAGGCTCTTCAGTAATTGCTCTCCAGACAAGGAAAGGACTTGAGATTGCCCACACGTGCTCCAGGCAGTTATTCTGCATCAGGAAACTGCAAGATAACAATCTCTGGGAGGCTTAGAGCTATGAGAGACAAGGGAATTGCCATCTTGGTCAATCCACAGTTGGCACCCTTGAAAGGACACTGAGTTCACTTACTTTGTTTTATTTTAATCAATTTTGGAGATTGGTATTAACAGCTTTTCAGCTATTAGGGACCTTTGGATTAACCTTTGGAGTTTTACAGCATGAAGTGAACTTCCTTCAAGAGGTTTTAACTACAAATTTAAAAGACCACAATTTTTGGGAATTGACAACAAAAGAGTGATTAAAATTTTGATTTTAGAAAGTTACAAGTGGCCTAAGAGTTCAGATGAATATGAAATAAGATTTTTGAATTAATGATAAAGAACACTTCCTGATGAAAAATGTTTTTGCTTTGTTTCTTTTAAATAAAGATTTTTAAAACTAAGGGGAACTACAAAGAATCAAAAATTACAATTAAAGGAGAACGCTTACTTGACTTTCAATTACAGAGTGAAGCAAAATATTTTAACATTACATTTATTAAAGGATATTTTTGAACACAGGACCCAGAATTTTAAAAGTTTCTGCCTCTGTAGAGAGGCTGTATCTAAAAGTTATGTTATGGAAGAGGAGCAAGTTCTACTGACATGATCCATGACTGAGTTGATAGTGGATTTTTACAAGACTGTAACACTGGACATACAAATGAAACTGGCTGATACCTTAATAATTAAAAGGGATACACAAACAACAAACCAAGAGAGTGACCTGCATAATTTTCCTACATTGGATTTACAAAAGAGGCTTGTTAAAGTTTTGAAGAACTTTGTGAGAAAGGACAAACAAGAAATGAAAATAAATCAAAATCTATGACATTATTTAAAAGGGTTAAAGATTAAGATTATTAGAAGTAAAAGAAAGGAATATAAAGTTGTTGGTTTTTATCAAGGTTAAGATCCATACAGTATATCTCTGCAACTCTTAATGAATTTCTGCTGACAGGCTGAAATGATGAGGCTTTATGGATTTGTTTATAGATAAGAGATGGGATGTTGGAAAAAAGACTGTGTTTTTTAAAGAGGTGATAAGTTACTAAATTGTTTATACTCATGATGAAGGCGTGGTCAGTTCTTATTTTTTTTCTTTGCTTACTTTCCTTATTTTATTTTCTTAATGTCTTTTTTCTAATTTTCCCTTTTTGTCTTTTCCACACATTTACTCTTTTTTAATTCTATTTTAAGTTTGTATTAGTTTTTATTGATGTAATTATATTTAATATAATTACTATATAAAAAAGAAGCTTACCATGTATTAAACTGTTACAGCTTGTATTTCTGAAAATCACTTGCATTGTTTCAACCTATTTTATTTATTGAATTTTCATACATGATTCTGGGTGGCTTACACAGTTAAAAACAAAATGCAATACATAGTTATAAATAGAAAATTAAAATGAAAACCATTAAACATAAAACACGTTAAAACTTAATTTGCAGGAGAATAAATGCAATGACTAACAATATAAGTAACTAACAAGCACTATACATTTTGTACTGGTTTTGGACCATAATAAAGCTATCATTATTAAATGCTGGATTAAGATAGGTCTTGCCTCTCTTCTCAATATGTCTAATCATAATCTTTCAAATTACGATGTAACAGTTCATACTGAGAACTTATTTACATGGCATGTGATGCTGTTATATGGCATGTGATTCTTTTTTTGAAAAAGAAAAACAGTTGTCTCTCCTCAAATGATTTAAACAATCTGTCTGTTTCCATTGTGTCCTTTCCAGCTTGAAGCTTTAAGGGCAGCAGGTGCTGAGTGTGTGAAGCATGGCTCCCAAAAGCTCCAGGAGAATTATGCGAAGCACTCTGAAGATCTGAAGAAAAGACAAGAAGGAGTCATAAATACAATAAAGGTATGAAATGTAAGAGACCCAGTTTGGGGCTGTGCTTAAGGTAACAGGGTAGAAACTAGGATATTGTAAGTTCTAGTTCTGCCTTGGAATGAGGCCATCTGCCATAGGAACGAGGGTATCTGAGTTGTAGGAAGAAGACAAGGACAAACCACTTCTGAAATCATGCCAAGAAAACTGCAAGTACTAAGCTAGGCAGTTGCCTGGAGTATTACGCAAAGCATAGTTCTCCAGAAAATCTTTGAGATATTTTAAAAAGATGATTGAGGATTAGAGACAAGCTTAGGGATATTCTACAACACTGTTTGATCCAAACTTCAAAACAAGCAGACTAGTCCACATATTGATCTGAGCTCCTCTGAAAGTATTAATTGTTTTAAAGACACAGCAATTCATACATTGGGACAGAGAAACTATATATATATATATATACGAGGGCAATTCGGAAATAAACCTCCGTTTGGTTATCAATAAGAGACACTCGCCGATACAGAACTTTTATTATACACATTAGAAAACTGCAACATTACATTACTTTTCGACATAACCACCATTCATATTGAGGCACTTGTCATAATGTCTTACAAGGTTTGAAATTCCTTAATAGTAGTTGCTCAGCGCCAAATCTGGGCTATAGGGAGGAGTGATCAAAAACATCCCAATGGAACTGCTTCAAAAGTTCTTGGATGCGTCTAGCGGTGTGCGGGCAAGCATTATCATGAACCAACACCACACTGAAAGTCAGCATGCCCCGACACTTGCTATGGATGGCTCGTCTGAGTTTTTGTAACATTTCACACTAGACTTCTTAATTGATGGTCGAACTATGCTCCACGAACTTCACTAGCAGTGCTCCTTTGGCATCTTCACATTTGGTGGGATTTTCTATGGCACCACTTCCGGTGTGGTGTTGGTTCATGAAAATGCTCACCCGCACCCCTCTAGATGCACCCAAGAGTTGTAGTTTTCTAATGTGTATAATAAAAGTTCTGTGTCTGTGAGTGTCTGTCATTGATAACCAAACAGAGATTTATTTCCAAATTGCCCTCATATTTTAATATGAATTGAACATATTTTGATTTTAAAATGTGAGAAACTATATCTGAATAAGAAATAAACTGGTCCATTCATCCTAGCAAAGTTGTTATCCACCTTCTCTTCCTGTGCTCTGGGCTACAGCATACAAAGCTCTTCTTCCAGTAATTCTCTTCATCACATGACAAGCAATCTCATATTTGGTCTCATGGAACAAGGTCATTGCTGCAGGGAAAAATAGAAGCTAATGTTGTGAATATTGTTTTGAGCTCCTGACTGAGAGGTGAAAGTCACAAACAAATCTCATAGAAGTGGAATCAATAATGTTGGAGGCTATCATTTAAAACAAACCTTAAACATTTGTTCTTTTCCACAATTGTGGAAAATGAGGAAATTCTTCATATAGTAATATTCAAAGTACCAATAAAGGAGAATATTTGTAGTTCAGGGCTGAAATGAGGGATCCTTGATGCTTTCTGTTGTTGTTTCCTTGCAGATGTTTCATTACTCAAACTAGGTAACATCATCAGCACTAATGATGATAACGTTTGGATAATGAAATGTCTGCAAGAAAGCAACCAAGCTCAAAGGACCTTTAATATTCAAAGTACCTAGGTTTAGGTAAGTTCTTTGCCACTAAATTCCATGGCTAGACTTTTTTCAAAGTTGCAAACTTCAGGCACAGTTTTACTCAACACAGCCACCTCTCCCTGGAAGATCATGTAAATTACTAAAATACTGTAACCTGCTTGGAAATGTGAGCCTCTTCATTTAATGCAATATTTTCTGACTAGTGAGTCAATTTTAATACAAAAATAACACATACCAGTGACCAGAGTTTTTGAAACACAGTGTCGCTTTATGAAATTAGCATGGACTACTTGTCAAAAGATGAATTATTTGGAGAACTAAAAAAATTAGATTCCATGTTGCAATTAGATTCCCTAATCCTAACCCATTGTGCACAATATTTGGCTGTATTTTTTAAAATGTTGTACATTGAGGCAAAAATCTCACGTCTCTCCTTCCATGATATAATAAGAATAAGAATACTTAAAAATTGTTAATGGTGGACATGGTAGTTCCTAGAGACAGCAGAACAGAGAAAGAACTGGAGAAAATCACAAAATACAAAGACCTGCAAATAGAAGTAGAATTACTGTGGCAAAAGAAAGCAAAAATAATACCAATAGGTGCCTTCCGTGCAATCCCAAAACATCTGGAGTAACTACTTGAACACCATTGGCAATGACAAACTCAAGTCAATTACAAAAGCAGCTTTACTGGGAACACAATGAACAACACACAATACACAAAATCTGTCTATCTCAGGTCCTTGGGAAAGACTTGAGAAATGGATAAAAATACCAAATCCAGTCTAAACGTCTGGCTGACTGTGCGATCAACCATAATAATACAGATCCCAGGTCCATAATATACAGTCCTTGGAAGCAGTGAGTGGGGAGTGTTTCAAAACTAGATTAAGCCCTTGCTTTTCATCATTTTTATTTTTAAAAGACGATTTGATATAGTTGATTCTGAAGTGGGAATGAGCAGAAATTGTAGACAATATTCATAGTTCAGGTTGTTGATTTTGGCAGTGGCTTGTTCTCCGAGCTTGCTGTTCAACTCCCAGACATCTCATTACCAAACTAGGTAACATCTTCAGTGGCGTTTAGGGTAAAGTGTCTTGTTCAGTTTCTTCTCTGCTTATATAAGTCCTGGGTGGTGTTGTGGTCAGCTGGTCACATGACTGTTTGCAGTGTGCGAAATTTACCTCCTCACCAGTTTAATTTCATGCCTTGTAAACAACATGATCAACTGACCGCAACACCACCTATATAAGGATCTATATAAGCAGAGAAGAAATCGAACAAGACACTTCACCCTAAATCCTGCTGGAAACATTACCTAGATTTGGTAACAAAGCATCTGGGAGCTAAACAGCAAGCTTGGAGAACAAACAGCTGCCAAAATAGCAGAAATGTCTAGAAGTGTAAAAATGGACTTTACATTTCAGTTCAGAGATAGCCTTTCTGAATGTTTAATATCTGAGGACTACCTCAGGAAGAATATCTTACATAAAAAAAATCCCATAGTAATTTTCCTGAGTTTTGCTCCCTGTGCTAAGGGTGACATTATTGTTACCATCACCATCAAAAGCTCAACTCTACAATTTTGCTGTCTTCCAGTTGTGGACTGTGTGAGTGCCATAGTTAAAGTGGTTTTTAAGAAGATGATAGGCCATCATAGAGGATAGACATTTTTTTAAATCAAGTTTAGTGTTAACACTGCAGTTTTGTGTATTTCTTACCTCAGAATAGTAGTCAGTTCCACCCTTAGTTTTTAGCAGTTGTGGGACTCCAAGTAGGAATCACCAAAGAGAAACTGAGAACTCCAAACAACTCTATGATATCAGGGGAACTATGGGGAACAGGCCATTGTAGGGTTTTCCGAAAATAGAACTAGCCTATGGCTGTATTCAGAGTGCAGGTGCTACTGATTCCAAACAAAAACCAGTTTGTGTCCCTTGCCTTGAGCTAATAGCATGGTATAATCTGTTTCTACAGTCTTCAGAGCCCGGCTTTTGCTTTCTAATTGCAGACCCGCAAACTTGAACAGGAGCAGATCTTAAAGCAAAGCACTGACAGCCTCGGCCAGCTGAGTGTGCAGCTGAATGAGAAATATGGCCAGATTGAAGAACTGGAAAAACGAGTACAAAGGATGGAAGAGGTGAGACTGAAATAAGATAAGATAACCTTTATTGTCATTTTTTTACTGTGGGCACAACGACACACATCAAAAATGAAATTTAATTGCCCGCTCTCAAAGTGAAACACATACATGACACACACCTAAACATACTATGTACAACATATATATAGATCCACACCCCTACATATACATAGCAAATAAATATTAAATACTGTCCATCTTGAATATATAACGGAAGGAGGAAGCTTGAGAGTTCACAAGGTTAATGCTGTATGGAATGAAACTATGGCTGAATCTGGATGTTCTGCTACGGATACCAACGGAGCTCCCTCCGGTAACAAGGAAAACAGGTCATGAAGAGGATGTGTAGTGTCCCAGATAATCTTATAGACCCTGCTCAAGCAACGCTTCTGTGTTATGTCCTGGATGGGAGGGAGGGAGCTGCCAATGATCCATTGGCCATTCTCACCATTCTCTGCTCCGCCTTCCTGTCTGAAGCAATGATGCTTCCAAACCAGACTGTGATACTGAATGACTGGATGCTCTCAATCATCCCCCTGTAGAAAGTGGTCAGGTCATGTACATTCATGGCAACTGTTCTGCCATCTACAAATGACTGCCAAAGCTCCTGTAAGGACCCACTTCAGCTAACCACCCAAGAAAGCAGAACTCTTGAAACAGGCATTGTCTCTAAAGGATACTTTTATTAAGGGTCAGTGATAGTAGGGAAGTCAAGGCGAGATCTGGGGAAAATCCTGTGCAAACGGTATAGTTAAGCAAGCAATATTTCTCCTCCCACCAAATCATAATGTCCATTTGAAATTCAGCCAATCCATGGATGGTATGATGGGCGGGTGACTGGCACAGTTGGCGCACATCTCAAGGTCTTAATAATAATAATAATAATAATAATAATAATAATAATAATAATAATAATAATAATACTGTAATACCATCAAATATCCACATCTGCCTATCCCAGGTCCTGGGTAAGGACTCGATAGGTAGACAAAATGCCAAATCCAGTCTGAACATCTGGCTGACTGTGCGATGATCCATAATATAATAATGTTGGAAGGGACCTTGGAGGTCATCTAGTCCAACCCCCTGCTCAGGCAGGAAACCCTATACCATTTCGGACAAATGACTGTCCAGTCTCTTCTTAAAAACTTCCAGTGTTCTTCTCCAGCTTTGGTTTCTCTGTATGATAAGGGAGATGCATTCCTTTCTCAAGGATAGAGGCAGGAGAGGGAAAGTAGAAAGCAAAAGTTATCCCAAGCTTCCCCTTCCCCCAGCAGAATGGCAGGCCCCAAAAGTAGAATATATATGCAAGGGAAAACACAGAGGTTTTGGGGACCTGACAGCTTCCTAAGAATTTTAGTGGCCTTTTTTAAAATGAAGAAACACAGGCATTCCTCAATTTACTATGGTTCATTTAGTGAACGTTCAAAGTCACAACGACACTGAAAAAAGTGACTTATGACCATTTTTTGCACTTACGACTATTGCAACATCCCCATAGTCATGTAATCAACATTCAAACGCTTGGCAATTGGCTCATATTTGTGACGGTTGCAGTGTCCCTGGGTCAGGTGATCCCCTTGTGCGACCTTCTGACAAGCAAAATCAAAAGGGAAGTCGTGTTGCTAACTTAACAGCTGCAGTGATTCATTTAACAACTGTGGCAAGAAAAGTTGTAAAACAGGGCAAATCTCGCTTAAAAACTCTCTTGCTTAGCAGTGGAAATTTTGTACTTAATTGTGGTTGTAAGTCAAGGACTACCTGTAAGTACCTATTATTGTTGGTTGTACTGCGCATGTTAGGTCAAATATTGTGATTGCTTTTTGTATGAAACTGATGATTAATCTAACCCTTTTCAACTGGTGAAGCTTTTTTTCTTTTCAAGCCAGAAGTAGAAATGACAAAAATTTACATATTCCTTACTAATAAGTAGATTTTTGCATGACACTCTCTATTTGACATTAAAGTTTGTGACAGTGTGTGGGATCTGGAGGCAAGAAACCATTTTTTAATGTAGGTGTTAACAGAAAACTGTTGAGGTGAAGTATTATTTCCCTGGGAAATAGAAGAAAGCCAATTTGTGACAACCATTTGAACTCCTACAATATTTATTCTTTGCTGTTATTGAAACACTCCAGCAAGGCCTTTTGCAAAACTTTCTCAGTGGATTCTCTAATAAGCATTGACACTTGTGAAGCAAACAGAGTTACTGCAGTAAATGTATTACCTAAAACCCAAGTCACCATATGCTTCTGTAATTAAGTTGGAAGACAAAAGAATCAGATTCTGTTAATGGAATCTCAGCAAAGGACTTAGACTGAGAAGCTTTGGAAATGGGAAATGATAAAATGATAAGATGTTCACCTCTGATCCTGAAACAGCTAAACTCATCAAAATTATAGTTGTAGCATTCTCAGTCATGACAAGTTTCTGGTTAGGTGGCATCTTTTACTAGATGGGACTGCCCTCTCTGGCAAGATACTAAAACATTAATTTGTTTGTAAAGATTCCTTTTTTGTTTAAGGTAGTCCGGAATTTGAAATAACATTTAACCAACATTTTACAAAACATAGTTGTGCTGTTTGCAGGATGTGCTGAAACCAAATAAGCAACAGGTTGGCTTAATGTGACAGCCTGGCTCACTTAACCTGCTAAGATGTTGACATTTTCCTAATGCCATGTTCAACCACAGACTATCCTATACCACTTCAAGAGGTCCAATCCTAATTGGACACGTTACATGAATCATGCCCCACACAGAATAAGAGAAATGAAGGCATCATATTTTAAGAAAGATTCAAACAAACTGAAAAAGGTTCAGAGAAGAACGAGAAAGGAGGAACAGAAAACTGGCAAAAACTGGCATAGGAGAGACTGAGGAAATGGATATGTTTAGCTTTGAATATAGAAGATTACAAGAATATTTTTTCAGCTGGTTACTGATTGAACTCATTTTTAAAATGATTTTAAGCTGCAGAAGGAAACATGAAGGTTAAGAAAATTGTCCCTAAGAATAACAGTTCACTTTGGAAAAAGTGCAGAGAAGAGCAACTAAGACGATTAAAAGCTTGGAGACTAAAACATACGAAGAACAGTTGTAGGAACTGATATGGCTAATCTAGAGAAAAGAAAAAATCTAGAGAAAAGTTGTAGGAACTGATATGGCTAATCTAGAGAAAAGAAAAAGCAGAGACATCACCCTGCCAACAAAAGTGCGTATAGTCCAGGCCATGGTTTTCCCAGTTGCAATGTATGGCTGTGAAAGTTGGACCATAAGAAAGGCTGAGCGCAAAAGAATTGAGGCCTTTGAACTATGGTGCTGGAGAAGACTCCTGCGAGTCCCTTGGACTGCAAGGCGTTCAAACCGGTCAGTCCTAGAAGAGATCAACCCCGACTGCTCTTTAGAAGGCCAGATCCTGAAGTTGAAACTCAAGTACTTTGGCCACCTAATGAGAAGGAAGGATTCACTGGAGAAGAGCCTAATGCTGGGAAAGATTGAGGGCAATAGAAGAAGGGGACGACAGAGAATGAGATGGTTGGATGGAGTCACTGAAGCAGTAGGTGAGAACTTAAATGGACTCCAGAAGATGGTAGAGGACAGGAAGACCTGGAGGAACGTTGTCCATGGGGTCGCGATGGGTCAGACACAACTTCGCAGTTAACAACAAAGAGAAAAGAAAAACTATGGGTGACATGATAGCAGTGTTCCAGTATTTGAGGGGCTGCCACAAAGAAGAAGGGGGTCAAGTTATTTTCCGAAACACCAGAAGGCAAGACAAGAAACAACGGATGGAAACTAATCAAAGGAGAGAAGCAACCTGGAATTAAGGAGAAACTTCCTAACAGTGAGAACAATTAACCAGTAAAACAGCTTGCCTTCAGAAACTGTGGGTGCTTCATCACTGGAGGTTTTTAAGAAGAGACTGGACAACCACTTGTCTGAAATTGTATAGGGTCTGCTGCTTGAACAGCCCTCCAAGGTCCCTTCCTGCTATATTTTGATTGTAATCATAGTAGACTAAGGGAAGGGTGAACTGCCCTAAATTAAAAGCATTCAAGTAGATTCTGGTCAACCCCATTTTAATATGGATTCCTGTCCTCAGCAGATGTTTAGGGCAAGATGATTTCATCTCTCTTTTTCCAGCTATGAAGTTTTGCATATCTGCAGTTTGCCAGGTTTTGTGGTCATCCCTGAAGGTGAATTCTGAGGAATGGATGAACTTTAAATGATGATGATGATGATTGTTAAACAAAAATGTACACCAGGCACAATCCTTGTTCCTTTGCTCCCTTTCAGGAAAAGAAAAGACTGGGTGAAAAGAAAGAGCTTTTAAAAAAGAAGTTGCATCAGATGATGTCAAATGTTGAGAGTACTAGAAGGTTAGTGAACTTCACAAAACTTTTTTAAAAAAAGCCCAAACCCTAAATCAATAGGGGTCTATAAATACTTGCCCAGAGTGTTTAAAAGCAGAGGAGAATCTTTGTATTAGTTGAAGTTAGACCACTCTGTAAATTATACAAGAGCTGCAATTTATAAAGAAAAATTAATCTGTATAATGGCATGTTCTCACCGGATCTGATTTTAATTAGGAAATACTGTTTGATAGTATCAGTTAATAAAGGTGGGGTAGACTGCATCAAATATACTCTGCTCCTATGGCAGAAACTCTGGAAAATCTGCACATGACACATGACAGATGGCAGGAGCAGATCTATAGTTCTTATCCATCTTCATTTCAAATGCCTCCTATCTCATCTCAGGCCATAGACTGTGTAGTCTGTATACAATGCATCTTTTACAAAAGAGCAGGTGAATCCCCTTACAGTAGTTGGATCCCATATCACATACTTTTCTGCATAAATATCAGATATGTAATGGTAGATTCATCATGGCATCTATGCTTGGTGGCTGGATACTGTTTACAAAATCCATATTATGTCACATTTTATACCAAAATTGAGGAGCAAATTGCCAATTAAAAAAAGAGCTGATTTGCAAAGTGAGGCTATTAAGAGTACACGGTACTAGAAGATAAAGTAGAGCAGACATGTCAAACTCGCAACATCACGTGATGTCGCGCAATGTATCGGAAGAGTTTTGCCATTGCTGGCAATGGGATAGGCGTGGCTTCCACATGATGTGTCCGGCCCGCAGGCTGGCAGTTTGACACCCCTGAAGTAGAAGTTCAGGATTTTGAAGAACAAAAGAAGCACAAAAGAGACTTCACATAATAATTGCACATAATGCAATCATATTAACTGATTGCCAATTAAGAACTTAAATGGAGCAGCAGGGGTGAAGCTATGCTTATCTAGAAAAGACTGATGTGATTGTTGAAATAAAGGAAGAAGAAAGAAATCTGGCTGGCCAATGGCCAGTTGTCTATGGAGATTCTCAGTCATCCAGGTCATAGTTATCCAAAAGGTGCGTTTTCAGGAGGCAATTGGACTTTCTTGTTTTTCTTTGAAGACATTTCGCTTCTTATCCAAGAAGCTTCTTCAGCTCTAACTGGATGGTGAGGAATGGAAGGATTTATATTCCTTGCAGACAGCTGATCATTTGCATTTAGAGAATCATTGAGGCCTTTTGGAAGTTTATCTGTGTCGTCAGCATCACCAGAGTAATGCAAATGTGTGTGGAGTCTTCTGGCTGCAGGATGTTTTCTGCCCTGTTCCTGTAGTCTGCAATGTTTTCTGGAAATCCGTTCATACTCTCACACTATTCAAAGGGTGTTCATCCCAAAGCGCATAGCTAAATGTCTATGGAGATTGTCAGTCATCCAGGTCATGGTTGTCCCAAAGGTGCTTTTTCAGGAGGCAACTGGACTTTCTTATTTTTCTTTGAAAAACATTTTCAAAGAAAAACAAGAAAGTCCAGTTGCCTCCTGAAAAAGCACCTTTAGGACTGACAATCAGTTATGAAGACATGTAATGGTTTATTCATTGATTTTTAACAGAAGTCTTAGAGAAGATCTTCAGAAGAACGTATAATTCCATGGTCTTCATGATGAGTGCCATTTGCAATCAGATCATCCAAATTTGGTTTGCTGATTTTGTCATTGCTAAGTAGCATTTCAACCTTCTAAGGACACGTTCATAAAATTGAAAAGAAAAAGGTTAACAAAACCCCAAAATCTAAATTCCATTGGAACAAGAGATCTTGATCAGTTCCTACTAATATGAACATTTTTGCCCATTTGGTCAATAAGAAAGTGTTAATAAGAAAGTTTATGAAAATTTTCTCAATGGCTTTATCCCAATTACTCTTCATTTTCCTTCCTTTTATGCTTTTCCAGTGCATGCATTAGCTGATTTCTCTTTCTCATTTGTTCCAGCTGTGTAAAAGTTCAGTCAGAGATGTGTGCTCTTCAAGAGCAGATTACTCACCTGGACAGTATGATCCATTCCCAGCACCAACATTTGCACAATCTGATTCACCAGGTTTGAATAATTTATTTCAATATACTAGGAGCAAAGCTCTGAGTTCAGATCACCATGTAGTGAAATCATCTTCATGTATGTGTGGGAAGGAAGGACTGAGAAACATGGGGGATTGGCAGGTTTACAGAAGAACCCCCCCCCCTCAAAAAAATGGGAACTGAAAAGGGAGGTGTTTATAACCGTTATACATTTCTTCATTTTCATGGCATAATTTGCCGTTAATTCTTTCATTTATTTGGGCAGCAGTCAAGTAAAACCCTTCAATCAGACTTTTGTTATTATTTTGATTTGAACATGATCTGTTCATGAACTGCAGTCTTGTGCATTTATATTTAAAAATTATTTTGAAATATAATATGTGTATATGTGAGAGAGAGTGTGTGTATATTATAAATATTCTATATATCTTATATATAGGATTAATGTAATCTAATTTTTAAATAGGTTCTGCTGTTGTGCTCTCATTAATTAACACAATCATTAACTGTATAGTTGTCTCAAATACTTGAGATGCATATTGAGATAACATTAAGATAAATGTTTGAAAGAAGCAGTTATCCAATTAATCACTGAACAAAAAACAGAAAAGTATAAAACAGACAAAATGGGGCATTTTTGAAGACAAAAATCAGGAAAGCTCATGAAGCAAAGAGAAGAGTTATTTCTCTAATCATAATAGGCAGTACACTATGAATGTTAAAACTAAAGTAAAAAAGTTTTATTTTTTATATCTCTGGAGATATGGATAATAATACTATACTAAAATTAATTACTACACATCTGTATAGTTTATTTATTTTTCTCAAACACACACACACACACACACATACACACACACATACACACATACACAAACCATCCGAAGGAGTAACTAAGTGAAAATTGTTAGCAAAGATTATAATATATGCCAATTTGAGTGTAACTGTGTGGTTTTTTTAGAAGAATAATGTCTTGTAGTGGTCAAGCTTTTGATCCTCAGGTGACTTTGGACCAATTTTTCTCTCACACAGCTTCTTTCTGTGAGGAAAAAAATATGAAGGGATTTATATAAAAAACCTTGAGCTGAGGAGAAAAGGTGGAACATAAACATCAGTTATTGTTTTATTATTTATTTAGTCTTGAAAAAATAAGATTTAAAAGCAATTACATAGCAAATGCTTATTTATTCAGTTTATTTGTTGCCTCACTGCCGGCAGCATACAGATATTAATGATAAAAGCAATAATGTAGTAATGTTGAATAAATAATGCAGTGCAAGTAAATATCTAATACATGTATGTTCAAAGTTCAAACATGACTCAAGATGAGACCCAGCATTCCTTAGTTACATGACAGCACTTTTGGTTTTTGGCAAAATGGTGCCATAAGCGAACCCATTGTTTTATTTAATGACCACCACAAAAAACATTGTAAAATCAGATCTGCCACAAGACGGACCTGTTTTACTACTATCACAACTGTAATGGGCAGGCTCCATAAGGTTGTATGCTGAGGACTGCCTATAATTCTATATAAATCGGAAAATACCTTTGATTGTAAACGATATGATTCTATAGTACATCATTCTGCAGACATTGGTAAAATATTTAAATCTGATTGGTAGAAGGACATGAACTTTTCCCGGCTTCAAAAATCTTCAGATGTGTTAACTTGAGAACAGGCTCTTCTTCTTATATCACAATAAGAACAAAATGTAAACAAATGCAACAGAGTAAAAGGGATAGAAATATTTTTTAATAATCCCGGCAATGTGAAATGTTACTCAGAGGGCCTTCCGCTGTGAAATAATCTCATGGATTTTCAAGGCATTGAAATTGCATCTAGGAAATTTTGTTACTAAATAATTTCTCCACATTGTTTTAGACCGAGGGGCTGAATAATGAACTGAAATATCAGGATGAAAGAATAGAAAACTTAAAAGACCAGATAGCAGTACTTCAAGAAAAGGTAAAGTAATTATTCTTACTATTATGGTTTGGCACACTATTAGCCAGATGTTTAGACTGGATTCGGCATTTTTAATTTATCTAACAAGTCCTTCCCAAGGACCTGGGCTAGGCAGATGTTGTTCTTTGATGGTGTTAAATGTGTTGTTGCAGGATGTAAGATGTTCTAAGTCCTAAAGGTGCTTTTCCAAAAGGCAACTGAACATTTTGGTTTTTCTCCTTGAAAATGTTTCACTTCTCATCCAAGAAATTTCTTTAGTTTGGTACTGAAGAAGCTTCTTGGATGAGAAGTGAAACATTTTCAAGGGAAAAAAAACCCCAATAAAACCCAGTTGCCTTTTGGAAAAGGACCTTTGAGACAACCATGACCTGATGATTGAGAATTTCCATAGATATTGTTCCAAGTAAAGCTGCCTTTTGCAATTGACTGATGGTGATTTTGTCAATGCTGATGGTGATTTTATCAAGTGGTGCTCTAGATATTTTGGAATTGCACCCAAGGCACCTATTACAATTGATACTATTGATACTGCTTTCTTTTACCACAGTCACTTCACTTCTGTTTGTATTGTTTGTATTATTGTTATTTGAAAACTCAGATCTATTCTACCCATTATGTTGACTCACTCCTCCCCTTCCCCCCCCAAAAAAACCTGGATGCATCAATTTCAGGACACAGTATTTTTGATAAACTTTCCTAAATATTATGGCAAGCCTTAATATTGTACTGCTCCAATAGAATATAAGAATGTTGTAAGATCTAAATCAGATTCAATCATTTGCTTTTGCAGTGTCCTCAGTATTAGGAGTTTGCAAGATCAATTTTAGGCATTGCTATCTCTACCCCAATTGTGTGTGTGCTGTGATGGCATTTAAGAGGCACTTCTATTTATTCCATCTTTTTATTTAGTTGCAATTTGTTGTCTCTTATAGGACACACAGGCCAAAAAAGCTAAGCATCTATCTGTGTCAATATTTGAGTTTTATATGATGTATATACTTATATACTCTACATTTCTAGAACAATGAACTGAGGTATCAAGTGGAATTCTACAAGAACCAATCAAAACGAAAAATCTCCAAGGCTGTTTGCACAAGGTATGTCTTTTCCTTGTTTTTATGGTGGTTTAACAATTACATCTTTAAAAATGCTAAAATTATTTGATTTGAGTGATTGAAGACTTCTTTCTTTTCTCCCACCCTGCCAAAAATGCCTGGAAATGTCTATGTTTTTAAAGGGATGCGATATAATGAGGATGACTGAGAACTTTTCCCCTGGAAATGCTTCAATTTGGTGGCCACCACTTAAACAGTGGGAAACTGCAGAAATCTGTTTCCATATGGTCCAATTCAGTTGTATCAGGACTGCAACTCCCAAAATTCCTATCTGATTGGGGATTCTGGAGATTGTAACCCCATTTGAAGGGATTTAGATTGGGAAAGGATAAAGTCTTAACTTGTTGTTGTTGTTAGTTGTGAAGTCGTGTCCGACCCATCGCGACCCCAATGGACAATGTTCCTCCAAGTCTTCCTGTCCTCTACAATCTCCTGGAGTCCATTTAAGCTCACACCTACTGCTTCAGTGACTCCATCCAGCCACCTCATTCTCTGACGTCCTCTTCTTCCATTGCCCTCAATCTTTCCCAGCATTAGGCTCTTCTTCAGTGAGTCCTTCCTTCTCATTTGGTGGCCAAAGTATTTGAGTTTCAACTTCAGGATCTGGCCTTCTAAAGAGCAGTCGGGGTTGATCTCTTCTAAGACTGACCGGTTTGAACGCCTTGCAGTCCAAGGGACTCGCAGGAGTCTTCTCCAGCACCATAGTTCAAAGGCCTCAATATCTTAATTATAATAGCTTGTGGAATGCAACAACCATTTTTGTCTATGATCTTAAACTTGGTTACTGATGTAACTCATCTTCTGGTTCATACAGTAAATTGGATGATAAGCTAATCAACCCAATTAGATTCCCACAACATATAAAAGCATGTAAATTCTAACTGAGGTTAAAACTATCCAAGCTTAGCATGGCACAGGAATGAAGCTACCTGATCTGACCTGGTTAGGTTTGTTGGGTTTCAGCAGCCAATGTACCAGCTGAACTTGTGCTACATGTTGTGTATGAAAAATTGCATGAGCTGGACTAGACAGTGGACAATAGAATTGTTGACAGGATATATAGCTCAATGTTTTTCCTGTGAGATATCTGGCAACATTTTTGCTCTGTGAACCAGAAGACTAAATTTCTGCAACATGCAAAGATTCTCCAGACGGTGGGGCTACAAGCATACAGAAAATACATTATAGTTACAGAAATGAGTTTATCCTGGGGAAAATCTTTCCAACACTTGGTCACTACTATCATTAAAATAATTAGTCCACAGAACCAAATTACAGGGAATTCTGATATATCAAATTCGGCAGTCTTTAGCTAATCAGGCATTCAGTGAAATCATAGTCTTTGCTAATGATACTGAAAAATGCCCCTTGTGGTTTGAGTTTTCCAAAATGTTTGCTACTTTAATTTCCTGATTCAAAATAACTTGAAAACAATTTCTAGAGGTTGAATTCCCTTTTCAATCTGCCATCTTTTGATTAAATATTATCAAAATCTGTGTGTATGTAGTACATTAATAGCTACCTTTAACCGAAAAGTGTGCACAATTCTTTCTGTAAAATTAATGAACTTGTGGAAAAGTACTTAGAAGTCTAAAATTTCTATTTGAAAAACAAAATGTATACAAAATTTAATCTCATATAGGAACCATTTTTGGACTACAATTTTGCTCATGGGTTTACAGCACACCAAAAACTTTCTCATAAAGTTTTAACATTTAACTGTTGAATGATTTGTTAAACATGGCTCTTTTTCAGTTGACAAAATAAGAGCATAGTTTTTAACTTTGATTCATTTTCTTCTGATTATTGCCATTAATATCTACTTATTAACGAAGTCTAAAATTTCTATTTGAAAAACAAAATGTATATAAAATTTAATCTCATATAGGAACCATTTTTGGACTACAATTTTGCTCATGGGTTTACAGCACACCAAAAACTTTCTCATAAAGTTTTAACATTTAACTGTTGAATGATTTGTTAAACATGGCTCTTTTTCAGTTGACAAAATAAGAGCATAATTTTTAACTTTGATTCATTTTCTTCTGATTATTGCCATTAATATCTACTTATTAACTTACTTTAAAAATAATATGCGGTTTCAAAACATTATCCAAATACCTAGAGCTAAGTTGACATTACTCTGAAAATTTGAGTTCAGTTTATTGCAAGTTAATCTTCAGGTCTACTTTATTGCTGAGCTGAAAAAAAATTAACAAAAATATAAATATGGAGTAATAGAACATGTTAGAATTTCTAAGAAATTTTTGCCACGTAGGCTAGTTCAGTTTTCACTTTAAAAAAATAATTTTCAAATTATTGCAACCTTTATTCAAATTATTGCAACCTCTTAAATCAAGAGACAGATCTTGTCACTTTTGGCTCCTGGTTAATATTTATAAAACAAGTATCCTAAATGCTGTGGACCATTTGTCAACTGAATTTGACAACTGTTAATCTAACACAGTTCTTAAGATCTCTGAATAATTCCTTCCTCCAGATTCTTTGAATAATATCAATGCAGGATTAATTTCCACAAGCTAAACTGGATTTTTCAAAATGGTACTTAATGAATTAAATGTTTCTCCATCTTGTTCTAGGATTGATGAAAACATGCCGTACATTGTGATATCCAGACGACGCAAGTAACCTATTCCTGTGATGTCTAAATCTTCCTCAGATCCATTACAAGGATTGTTATTTCTTTCCAGAATAACTTTTCTATGCATTTCCATTGGATTTATCTGCACAAGGAACTTTGGTATCACCTAACAAATTTTATCTTTTGAATTAATGTATGGAATCTTAAGATAGTCTTTTAAGGGAAGAAGTAAATTCAGATGTGACAGCAGACATCCAGGAAGCTGGGACATATGGAGAGACAGATTCCATTTTTAGTCATGTACAAGCACATTAGAAGCATTGTAGTTGTTCATACTAGTGATGGAAATGCATTGGCTTCAGAACTCATTAATCCATAAGGACAAATTTCCTCCTGCAAGTTCTATAACGCATCTGAATCTACATTGGCAAATATACTGGAGGACTAAGGCAGCTGGATCAAAGATACAGTGAAGAGCTCAAATATGTGGTACGGCTGAACTACAACTGACTAATATTAGTTTCATGAGAATTCTCTCTTCCTAATTTTGGATACCTGGCAAGAGAGAGAAAGATGAACAAACACTTATGTGGAGATTGCATCAATCTAATAGAAAAATCTCTCATCACACCAAATTGCAGCTCTTAGTATTATATGTCATGGACAATTAGAAGTAAGGTGAGCCTTAGCAAAACCTTGAACAGAGATATCTCTTTACAGCAGGGGTCCCCAACCCCCGGTCTGTGGACCAGTACCGGGCCGCGGCATGCCAGCAACCGGTCTGCATAACCAAGCAAAGCCCTATCCACGAGATTCAGGCAGCACACAAAACCATGCACCCTCCGGTCTGTGGAAAAACCTTTCTCCACGGAACTAGTCCCTGGTGCCCAAAAGTTTGGGGACCTCTGCTTTACACTATTTCTAACCCCCTCTATGATTTTGAATCTGGCAAACTAATTATAATGTTGTTGTGAAAAATGATAATTTTAGGAATGGTGTTTCTGAAGGAAGCAAAATACCTCTGGGAAGTGCAGCTAAGCACAGAGTCCTGAAGCCATCATTATGTCATGATTTAGAATCAGTAAAATGTAAATGTTCTGCATAGAGCCTTTTCTAGGCAGGTTCATCTAGCAGTATGCCTGAGGCAAGAATGTAGGAATATATATTTCAGTGATACCGCTATAAAAACAGATTGTGCATTTGGCTAAGCCCTGTTTTATGTCAGAGCAAGAACAAATTTCCCCATCATTAAATGAATAAATTATTTATTTATCTATAACGATTATAGCATCCTTAGATTATATGTCAAGAGCAGCTTGCCAAGACTGTCAAAATGTAATGAGGAAATGGACAATATAAAAGCCATGAAATCAAGAAAGATCTGTAGTGTAGTTATCAGGATAAGAAGGGCATCTAAAAACCTCAAGGACGGTCTCTCTAGTGGCCAGTATGATAATGAAAAGTAAGGCTGGTTGTTTCTTGGTCTACAGCAAGATTTATGCTTAAATCTGGCTGGATCATTTTTGCACTGTAGCAAAATAAATAACTGACATAATGTTCAATCATCAGTGGTGAAAAAAGTAAGGTTCTACATTTAGGCAAGAAAAACCAAATGTACAGGTATAGTATTGGGGGTACCTTGCTCAATAGTAGTAACTGTGAGAGGGATCTCAGAGTCCTAGTGGATAATCATTTAAATATGAGCCAGCAGTGTGCTGCAGCTGCCAAAAAAGATAACATAGTGCTAGGCTGCATTAACAGAGGGATGGAATCAAGATCACATGAAGTATTAATACCACTTTACAATGCCTTAGTAAGGCCACACTTGGAATACTGCATCCAGTTTTGGTCACCACGGTGTAAAAAAGATGTTGAGACTCTAGAAAGAGTACAGAGAAGAGCAACAGAGATGATTAGGGGATTGGAGGCTAAAACATATAAGGAACAGTTACTGGAATTGGGTATGTCTAGTTTAATGAAGAGAGGGACGAGGGGGGAATATGATAGCAGTGTTCCAATATCTCGGGCTGCCACAAAGAAGAGGGAGTCAAGCTATTTTCCAAAGCCCTGAAGGCAGGACAAGAAGCAACGGATGGAAACTAACCAAAGAGAGAATCAATCTAGAACTAAGGAGAAACTTCCTGACAGTTAGAACAATTAACCAGTGGAACAATCTGCCTCCAGAAGCGGTGAATGTGCCAACACTGGAAGTTTTTAAGAAGAAACTGGACAGCCATTTGTCCGAAATGGTATAGGGTTTCCTGCCTGAACAGGGCGTTGGACTAGATGACCTCCAAGGTCCCTTCCAACTTTATTATTATTATTATTTAAGCCACAAGACTATAAGGTAAGCCAGTGAATATTGTGGATAAAACTACGAATTTAGCTGAAGGCGACCTTGTCAGCATAATGAGAGCAACCATGATTTGATTATCTGGATTCCTGGAAATGATTCAGGAATGCAATGAACATTTCTTTTCTGCTTCAGTCTAACGTTTCCTCTTCACTTTCTCAAAAACATGTTTTCCAAGGCAGGGCTCACCACAGAGCACCCGCTATTCCCTTCAGGGTGCAGCTACATTAGTTTTTCTGCTTTAAATGTGTGCCTATTTTCGGGTTATTTTCCACTTTCCTGATCCCTACACTTGGGCAATCAGAAAATATTTTTCCAATTATATTTCAGGGCTGGGATTATGGGTGGGCCTGGCCAGTGACACAGTATTAAAGGGACCAGATCACAATGAACATCTTAGCTAGCAAATGGAAACAATGGCTTTAATGTTATCCCAAAGGTTGAAATTCATCCCAAAATAGCTAGTGGTTTCAAGTTTTTAACAGCAAATATGTCATATTTAATCTATGAGGTCACTAGGAGTCAAAAGTGGCTTGATGGAGCATTACGTTTTCATAAATACAGATACTTCATTGAGAAATACTTGTGATGTCCTTTTCTGCTTTGCAGGCTGATGCTTCCATTTCTCCCAAGAGCACAGCCTCAATCTATTCCCTTTTCTCTTCCATTTAACCCAACAGAATATTATTCGTTCTATTCCAAGCATTAATAGAAAGTGCTAGGAAAAGATTGAAACACATTTGTAAAATTTCTGAGTACTATATTTCTGGTTGCAAAAAAAAATAATAATCTGCTTTACTGTATCCTATTCAGACATTGTATCTCTTACAAATGGACAATGCTCTCATGATGTAGAAAATCTGATGCTTCAGTTTTTGTGATTTCCACTTTCGTAATCTTCCAATCTGAAATCTAACTTATCCAAATTATGCAGCTTTCAAATATCCCCCAATGCTTTAAGAAACCAAAAATACTAGAAAGAGGATGCACATGTTCCAAGTGTTAAATAAATGTTGATCATTTGAAGTTGGACATCTTTATCATTATGAAAACTTAAAGGACATTCTCTTACATCTTTCCACATGATTTATTTAGTAGTGCCAGCATGGTAGCTGCTGAGCTGTTCCCAGTATTAGGGCAAATTGTAACATTAGATAACGCCAGTGGCTTGACTCTTACTAAAGCTGCATTTGGAAAGTAAAAAGCATACACTGTACTGGAATTACGGGCGGTATTCACAGATAGCCCTTGACTTATGACCAGTCACTTATTGATCATTTGAAGTTATAATGGCCCTACAAAAAGCTATTTATAACTTGTGATCGCAGTTTATGATGGTTTTCCCAGAAAGTGGGTTCGCTTAATGACCGCCACATTTGTTTTATGACTGCTGTGTTTGCTTAACCACCACAAAAATTGTCATAAAATTGCTGACCCACTTTACGACCATCACAATTTGCAATGTTTTGTGCTAGGCTTAATTACGATTGTAACTTGAGCACTACATGTATTTATTTATATGTTTATAGCCCGCTTTTCATGCAGGAGCTCAAGGTAGCAGGCATGTTGTTCCTGCCTTCCATTCTTTCCTACAACTCTGTAAGTTGAGAAAATTTATAAATGTAGGTATGTATGTGTGTATTTATGTGTAAATCCAATATCCTGTCTTTCATTCAGGAGCTCTTGGAGATATACATTGCCCATTTTTGTTCTGCAAGGTCCTCCTTCAAAACCAACTTTAGACCATTATAAAAGTCTACCCTTAAATGAGGAGTAGGATTTTAAATTCCATATTTTATCTTTTCAGATGGGTATAAAGGAAATACCTAGCAAAGTAAAGAGAAATACAAACCTTATTCTCACTTTGGATGAAGTGAGTTGGGACCTGTTCTATCAATCTTCCTTAACTTTTCCCCAGATGCATTTGTTAGGACCTGCAGCCATCCTCTTTGTATAGCTGATAAAAGATTGAAAAATAGATTCATCTAGACCAGAGGTGTCCAATCTTGGCAACTTTGTGGATTTAACACACAGATTTCCCCAGATAGCATGGGAGTCTGGGAGATTTTAAAGTTACCAAGATTGGACACCCCTGATTGAGACATTGTCCAGTTTAATCAAGAAGCCAAAATAGCAGAATGAAATAATTCAAGCCAATGCAATGAAAGCAATACTGTTGATACAAACGCATAAAATAATCATGTTTTTTGACTATTTATCTTGAAATAGGGACTAGATTGTATTATTATTTCCAAAAAGTTCCAGCAATCTTATACGACAAAAAAAGCAGATAAAAATGTACAAATAAACAACTTAAGGGTGAACTAAAGCCCAGATCCTGCAGAGGTTGGGTATAATCTCTTTCAAATGATCCGCAACCTTTGGTTCATAATGGCTGGTAATTCAAGGAATTGTATTCTTAACATCTGGAGGACATGAGGTTATTTTTTTAAAAAAAAATTACTGGGACTATGATGAATAATGTATTCCAATTTCATCCTTTTTCTGTCTAGATGAGTTCCTACACTGAAGCCATTGTTTCTTAAGCCATTTCTGAAAATATCAGTTGAGTTCCTACATAGTTGTAACTATAGCATGTGAATTCACATGTGCAAAGCCAGAATGAAGTAAGAAACATTATGACTTAGTGTGACATCTGCACACTTTCACCATTCTCAGACACATTAGATCATGTTTGCTGTTCAAGATCACAATCCACAACTGCTTTAAAAATGAATAGTTTTTAATTTCAAAAGAACAGTGCAGAAACGAAACTACAGAATTACATTCCTTAGCCATATTGTATAAACCCAGCCACCAATGGCTACGGTCTGATAGTATGTATGTATGTATATGTGCGTACTCACTCACACACTCACACATATAAATACATATTTATATATCATTGAAAAGCAACAGCATAATAGTAGTAATACAACACGGTTAATGACTGAGTTGCTATGCTGGCAGTGCAGTCCATCCAGAGAGAGATAATTCAAACACTTAGCTCAAAGAATGTAAATCTTTAATTTCTACAGAACCATCTCAAAGACCAACAGAAAACATGCTCAGAGTTATCTAACTTAAGGACACACTAAAAGCAAAACAAAGCAAAGGGGGAAAAAAGCAACTGATCAGTCAGGAGGCTCTTAGTGTTGAATCAAAATCTGAAAAGAATAATTTCAATAAATATATTCGTGAGAAACACATAAAGTACCTTGAATTATACAGATATGTACACTGAAAATCCCACCGTGGGGGTAGAGCAATGGCAGTTGGAAAAGATTTAAGATTCAAGAAACCTCTTGATTTAAAAGTTGAGGTGGAATCAAGTTTAGAAGAGCTGCAAGCAAGACCTTTTTAAGTGTAAGAAGAAGATGGGTCCATGTTTCTTAAGAAATATCCCATAATGAATTTATGCTAAATGGTATGAGTTGAGGGGGATTATTGATAAGTACAACTAAATATTTAACCAGACTGCAGGACTTCACCCCTTCTGAGAATATCGTATGATTGTAAGTTTGTGATAACTTTTCTCCCCCTCCCCAATTAATCCCCTTTGTAGCAAGCCATAACCACGTGACTCAGATTATGATGCAGTTGGCCTTTAGAAGAGCTGCTATCATGCATTTTTTTTAGGGAAAGGAAAACGTGACAGAATTCCTTACAAGCCTTGAGGATATTGTCGGAGGAGAGCCAAGTTAATCAATGGTATTCAAACTCCTCCCGATTACTAACATTGAGCTTCAACAGCATATCTAGAAAGTTGACCATGAGGGACACTATCCAACTTTGCCTCAGTTTGACTGGAGAAAGAAACCAACAAGGCCGAATAGTTTCAGTGGTCACTTCATGTAATACCAGACTACAGAACACGTATTGTATTGGGGAAGGTAGATTTTCATAACAAAACAGCCGCAAAATGACTAGTTTGAACACTGTAAATCTTGGTAAAAGACTTTGTTAAAAGGCTGCTGGGCAAGTATAGGAACATATTTTCAGTGACAGGGACAACAATCTTCTCTTAAAATATATTGATTTATCCCATAGACAGTAATTATTAGGGACATCATGTGCATTTCATCAGGCAACAGCTTTGCTCTTCAGAGGCTTTAACTAAGCAAACAAAGATCCTTTCACAGAAATCAAGCTGGTGTGCAGTTTTTGCTGCTGTAATCTAATGCCAATGGTTGTCAATAAAAGCAGGCAAAAATGGTTACATGGAACTAGCAGTTCTCTAGTTTCTTTCCCTCAACAATTATATATGGTTTATGAAAACATGGGTTGGCTTAGTGTGCTTGGACTATCTCTGTAGATGGTCAGAAGCACAACAGAAGCACTTGAGAACTTGGCTCATTACAGCTGAATACTTTTGGATAAAGGGGTATATATACGAAATGAAAAACCATGGGTCTATCAATCATACAAACACATCCAATATTTTGATTCAAATATTCATGAAACCAAGTCAGAAAAGGGAATTTCATACCATGTCTCAAAAGGATCAAAAGGAAGCCTGGGAAAATTAGCACAACATATTGCCATTACAATTATTCATCAATGAACTGCAGGTGAACTTTAATCAAATATTCAATTATATGTAGGATTATTTTGGCGAGATGCTAATTATGAACTATAATGGCAACATAACCTACATCAATATATTTGATATCAGTCATACATATCCTGATCTCCTTGATGAAATAGGGCCATAAAAGAAAAGATAATGAAAGAATTATTGATGTGATATGGAATTTATTTTGAGTTTATATTGAAAATGCAAGATGGATTCCAGTATTGCCATCTTGGCAAGTTTTTAGTTGCATCAAGCCAGTTTCAAAGGCTATTAATAAGATGATATAATGCCAATCTGGGAAATCAAAGCAAGTGTTCTTGTGGATTAAACACTGTGCTGATAAATGTTCCCTATAAACATCTACATTTTAGGCATGCAGGAGTTTAGGTGTGCATAATGAAAGCTACAAAACCAACAGCTATTTTGCCTTACTTAATGCTGGGGAATATTTTGTGTATACAATATCAAAGTTTAACATGCATGCATAAAACATTCACTCGTGGGTATTTATGCTGAGACAAGAGGCATGGGCAGAACTAATAGGAATGCTAGTAGATAACCCAGCATGATTGAAACAAATTGATGCCCAAGAATAATTGTGCCTTAGGAGTGGCTTCAAGTTTTTAAGTTGCTACTCCAGTTAGTAAGCAACAAAATATACGTATGGTAGTATGAGAGATTGGAATACAACTGTAATATATTGGTCCCTCTAGATCGGATTTATAATACCAGAAGATCCAAAACTGTCAAACTAAATGTAAGAAAAGTTCTGAATGGCAACTTTCACTAAGTCAGCTGGGATTCCTCAGTAGATCAACCATATGCCCAAATTTTGCACCAGATAATTCTGTTTACTGCTATGCAACAGACAGCACTGAGTAGGTAATAACAGCTGGGAGTATTAAGGATATATAGGTCCAGTCTCTTCTTCCATTGGAAAGCTAAAAGTTATAAAATGGCAGAAATGCAGGAAAAAGAGATGAAATATTCCTCACAGTGCAAGGCCATATAGAAAAGGAGATATACTTTAATGCACAAAGAATCTCTTATTCTTTTACACTTAGTTAAGTGCAGTGATTCTCAACCTTGGTAACTTTAACATGGGTGCACTTCAACTCCCAAAATTCCCCAGTCAGTATTTAACAATTGTTAATTTAAATACTTGTTAAGGAATTCTGGAAGTTGAAGTTCACCGGTCTTACAGTTGCCAAGGTTGGGAAACACTGCTTAAGTGTATTCCCCAGCCCTTGATTTCCAGCATAGCATTCTGAAACCAAGTAAATACACTCCAGATTTCATAGGAAAAAAAAAAAAATTAGTATTTCCCAATATAAGTGCTGAGCAATTAACACTAGCAAAAAGTGAAGACACCTTTGGGATTTTGTAATTTCCCATTTCTGAAAATGAGTTCTGCAGACTTACAAAAAGCAGTAAACATCTAAAAGTGTACTGAAGGTATTACCGTATTGGAATAAAAATAAAAATCAAGATATCACCAAGAATATATTCTTTCTGAGAAATGTGTTCACATTTTGCAAACTGAAATATATGTTTAATTACTGAGAGACTGATGAAGAGCCTTGTGATAAATATTAGAAACAACTCTTTTGCTTTGGGTTGGTAACCTGAAGAACCTGGTGAAATATACTCTCTAGCTTAGAAAATGGTGGCAGGGAATCGCAGACAATTTTGGAGCGGCTGAGTTGCAAAAACAGACCTTTTAAACCAGAATGGCATCACAGAGAGATGGTGCAGAGTAGAAAGACAATGTCTGTTTTTGTTGTAAATACATGCATTTGGCTCATCATCATCATCATCATCATCATCATCATACCATCATCCTATCGTGCTTGGCTCTAAAGTGTACACATCCTTAACGCAGTGTTTCTCAACCTTGACAATTTTAAGGCATGTGGACGTCAACTCCCAGAATTCCCCAGCCAGCATTGCTGGCTGTGGAATTCTGGGAGTTGAAGTCCACATGCCTTAAAATTGTCAAGGTTGAGAAACACTGACTTAACGGTACGTCTACTGTAACAAGATTAGTACTGGAATTTCCTCTTCTTTGTTCCTGTTCCTGCTTTTCTCATTTTAAGTGGTGGAAATAAAAGAAAGGCATTATATATTGAATCAAGACCTTGCTTTGGACAGCTAATATTCCAGATCAACGCTGAACATAGCTTCATGTTTAGGAGGTGCTCTGCTCGTAAAGTAAAAGCACAAATAATCTTGTGTGTATATACAATATGTGTTAATTAGAACATTAGAACAAATAAGAAATGTTAACTGCATCCATATGGAACTCAATAAATACATACTATCTTGTAATGAAAGGGGATTCCATTGGAATATCACTCTGAGTCATCAATGAAATACTTGGCCAAGTATTTCAAGGCAGATAGCACTTTTCAACTTTGAGCAAACCTCGTGGTTTTTACCTTTTCCAACACTGTGCTATGTTTTATGGACATCTTCTTTCTACAGTCCACCAACCTCCAATGCCACCTAATGACTACATTGCAGTTTTAATCAGATCTTGCCTTATGAGAATAGCCAACTGAATGAAACAACAATTAACTTTTTGGTATTCAAAAACATAAAGATGCTTACAGTGAGCCACACAATATATTCTTTGGGGTGTTTTTTCATCATCTGTTTAGCAAACATACAATGTCCATCATAATAGAAGGCAAAGAGATGAAAAATGATGGCCCAGGCCAACAAAGACAACCCTTTGTTTTATTGTAAAGGTGTCTCCTAACATTTCAATTATCCTCTCCCCAAAGCAGATATTTTCTCTATTTACTCCCCTATTGTATGAAGGAGAAAAGAGCCTCTGGATTTTCTATGAAGATGGTTAACACCTGTTTGAATGCAGAAGCATGATTTCTCAGCATTGAAAAACAAAATCAGGCTTGCAGTCTCATTTGGTCCGTGGAGTTCCAGGTTGAATTTAGCATTTGGTCATTCTCTTACTTTCTGACTTCTCATTCCTTTCCTTCAACCTGAATGGCCAAGTCAACAAGCACATTTCTTCTCTTCAGATTTGGATGACACCAGTTTTCCTGAACTTCCACCATTGGCTGTGTCAGAGAGCTGAGACTTGTCAACACACTGTTCCATTCGTTTCATTATTAAGTCCAAGAGTGTCTCCACAGCTTTGTCCACATTTTGGCCAGTCGCTGCACTTGTTTCAAAGTATGGAATGCTACGACAGGAAAACATCAGAAGTGTTGTAAGATATTTCAAGAGAGAGCAGTTATAGCAATAACCCTACAGGTTTTTCTTCAAAGGAGAGCTTACATTTAGTTCTCCAAAGCAAAATGACTTCACTTCAACAATAAGAATATTGAGTCACTTTCTGAAAGGCCATTAAGTCTGCTGAACCCATCCCTCTTCCCCCTCTGACAAAAAGAAATTCTTATTAGCATTAGTACTTATCCATTCAGAGATTACTTTAAGAATCACTGATGTCAAGGGGGGGGGAATAAACATTACACTTGGTTTTCTTCCTTGGAAACTAAATGTCTTGGCTATTTCATTGTGTCCTTTGGCATCACTCAGAGGAGTACACCAATGCCACCTGAGTTAGCTGAGAGGACAGCAAGTTTGTTTGCCTTACCCGTATTTGTCTGCAAGTTCTTTTGCTTGTCTTTCATTGACCTCCCTCTGATCTGATAGGTCAGCTTTATTTCCAATTAATACTATGTCAGGGTTCTCGCAATAAGCATTTGCTTGCAACTGACCTAAAGAAAGAAAACGTAGAAACTTGGTAAGGAGTATAGAAATGTTCCCTTGAAACAGAGGAGCAGAAATCATAGATTCTCTCAGCCTTTCCTAGCCTGGTTTCTTCCAGTTGTGTTGCTCAAGGCTGATAGATGAAATATGGGCAAACTCACTACCTATTTTTACATTAAAAAAAAAAGTCTGATAGAAATAGGATGGTTGTTATCTTATTGCCCAGAATACATTGTGCCATCCAATAAATCAAATTAACATTGAGATAATAAATCTGAAAATGCCAACGAGCACTGTTTTTCTTCTCCGCATCACAGCTGCAATGGGAATAAAGCAGGTAGTCCTCGATTAACAACTGGTGTTGCTTAGTGACCGTTTGAAGCTATGATGGATTTCCCCTGAGCTACTTATGTCCTGGTTCTGGAGTTCGGTTAGTGGTGCCCCCCCAGTCACATGATCACATTTTGGGCATTTGGCAACCAACTTGCATTTACAGACGTTTGCAGCATCTTGCAGTCACATGACCACAATTCTGGGTGGGTTTTGCTAGTTTCTGGCATTTACTTTCAGTTTCCAGCAAAAAAAAAAAAAACCCACCCATTGACTAGAACAGGTTTGCTTCAGTGACCATGGCGTTCACCTAATGACTGCCATTTTGCCACAAAAAAGGCTGTAAAATTGGGTGCCGTCACATAGTGACTCAATAATAACTACAACAACTCATGACTATAATTCTGGGCTCAGTTACGGTTGTTAAGTCGAGGACTACCCGTTACCCCCACAAATTTCAAGCAAGTCATATACATCCTTTTAGTAATATTTAAACTAGCTTGGGCAGGGTTCAGCGTTTTGCAGAAACATGACATGGTGGTGATGCTGTAGGCTTCAAGGAGGGGGCAGGGCTGGAGTGGAAAAACAACTTTGTCAGGTCACAGTGAAAGTACACCTGTTTCCTAAAGCTTCAATAAAAGGTGTCTTGCAGCCAGTGGCCAAGGCAAAGAACGACCCAGGCACCTCTAGAAGTCATCTTCAGAGAGGAGCGCACCTGGCTTCTAAGGTACCTGCGTGTCTTTAGTGGCCGAGTGTTTAATCGTATCAGGAGTAGCTGACATAATTCCACTCTCTAGGGGGGCTGCTGTTGCATTAAAGGTGGCAGATTCAATGCCGCTGAAGCTAAAAGAGCTTAAGGCTAAGGGAGGCAGATGCTTTTTCCACTTACTCATCCAGTTTCTGACATTTAAGAAGCTCTGTTGACTGGTGAGATCAAACATTAGCAAGAAGCCCATGGCATCTCTGAAAAATGCTGTGGTGAGACTTCTGAATCTGTCAGGAGAAAAGGAGTGAAAGGATCAATATACAATTTGAGCTGTAACGAAAAAAGAAAGCAATGGGTATTAGGTAAACATTTCACTGCTGAACTTTTAAAAAGTGCTGCAAGCAAACAGATAAATGACAAGGCAAAGCTTTAATATTCAGTTTACAGGGATCATCAACCCTTATCCAGAACGACTGTTCAAGCACAAATCTTCCTTCAGGTTACAAGGCAGCCCTGGGGATGATTTTATTTTCTCTTATGATCTGTTCCATTCCAATGGGGATTTGTCTTATAAATTTCCCTTTGAATACCAAAAAGATGGGTAGGAACAGCCACAGGAGATTTTATCCCACCCAGGGACAAAGAAATTCTGGGAGTAGGGCTCACACACCTTCAAGCAGAGAACTTGATTGTATGTATGTGTTTGTGTGTGTGTGTGTGTGAAAACTTCAGACACTACCCTCAGTGTCTTGTGACTTTTAGCAATTGTTCCCCTGAAATGCAACATTCCAAAATGCTTCAAATCACTTTTTATTCAAAATGCCAAATCATCCAAATTAAGAATAGGCTCTTAAGCTTCCTTGTAAACAATAATATGATGTCAAAAATGATAACACACACACAAAAAATCTCTGTCTTGAAAACCTGCCTGAGTTCAAATGACAGAATCTAATAGAAAAATGTTGTTCATTTCCCCTTCCAATTATTTCTGCATTGGACTTTTAAGTTCTTGCATATTACCTCTCTTGCCCAGCTGTGTCCCATAGCTGCAGATGGACCTTAAAGGCTTTTCCAGAAGAACCACTTGACCCCTGGCTGTTGTACACCTGAAACATACCAAATAAAGCTTCACTGTTTATTTTAATGCAGGGAGAATTATTTATTTATAAATGTTAATTAAAAGTGAAATCGTGATTTGCAAACTGAAAATGCCGGTCAGGAAAAGGTGATAAACATCATATGATCCTTTTATAGATTTTATTCCACAGTTGATTTTGGCAGCCAGCCCAGCATTTATTGAAGGAATGCACACAGTAAGAATTACAATACTGACATGGGAAGTATCAATCTGAATATCAGGGATGTCCAACCTCGGCAACTTTAAGACTGGTGGACCTCCAACTCCCAGAATTCTCCAGCCAGCATGAGAAATGCCTAGCTTGGGAATTCTGGGAGTTGAAGTCCACAAGTCTTAAAGTTGCCAAGGTTGGACATCCTGATCTAGATGAGTGCATATGGGCTCAGAAGCTAAGCGTGGTCAGGCTAAAATAGTACATGGGTAAGAGATTTCCATGAACACAAAGGTTGTAGGCTAGACTTGAGAAATCAAAAAAACTTCCCAAGAGAAGGCAATGACAAGCCACTTCTGCAGTATTGCCTAGAAATGTTTGCCAAAAACTATCTCTGAAGCCACCGGAAGATGAAATCAATTAGGACACTTTAAACTTTATGTTTACAACGTTAGACTGGAACTGGTGGCTCTTCATTTGTCTATATAACTTTCTGGAGGCATTTCAACATTCATTCTCTTTCAACTTTCCTTACAGAGTTGTTGAGTGGAAGAATAACATGGAAATAATCCCTTGGAGGCTGAAAGATGGATGTATAAGCAGTAAATTGGAATTCAGCAGACTGGAATTCTTAATATCGGATTTTATTTATTTATCTGTATCCCACCTTTATTATTTTTACAAATAAGTGTGAAGACTGCTTCGGAGTCTCCAAAAAGTTAGTCACTATCACACAGCCTAAGCTACAAAGTGTCTGGACTTTGGACTACCCAATTAAGACTGACACAATAAACTAATTTCTTTGTTTGTATGTTTTTCTTAGGTAATATCTTTCTAAACAGCACAGCTGCTGCATGTTTGCTCTCCTGTACATACATAGAAGATTTAGCATGTTGCTTTGGTATAGAAAAGATCTGAATTAAAGAGGTGACTCAGCCATCCCTGAACAACCCAAGAAGAAACATATGTCTTGGTCCAAGGCAATAAGCAATTATGTTCCACTTGAGATTTTCCATGAAACTGAAGACTGGAGCAGCAGATGGCCCTGCGCAAGTGAAGGAGAGAGGTGTGTTCATGGCCAAAGAGCTTAGCACGAGAGCGGGTAAGAGGAAACTTGGGGGAAAAATGGCCTTCAACATTTCACCTAGAGCAGGGGTGTCAAACTTGCCGCACCACATGACGTGTCGCGACGTATCGTGACTTTTTTCACCTTGCCGGAGCTGGCGTGGGCATGGCTTCCGTGTGACGCATCTGGCCCATGGGCCGGCAGTTTGACACTCCTGACCTAGAGGATCTAGCTTTCTGAAGTACAGTACACATTTCTCATTTCCCCTGTCATTCCAATTAAATGGGCAGAGATTTTAAAACGTGCAAAGACTAAACAGCACCTGAAAAATAGCATCAAAAGTATTAAAAATGATGTTGGCCACTGAAGCATTTGTGGTTGGGCAAAATATACATAGTTCACATTACTTTAAAAGCAGTATATTTTTGCCTACAACCCTTACAGCCTGGCAAACTATTAAGTCATTAACACAGCACACACTTTTGTTGAGACATATTGCTGTTCTATTGTTTTGGCACCACCAAAGATTTGTAAGAAAGGTGTGTGTGTGTGTGTGTGTGTGTGTGTGTGAAGTACTTGTGTAGAAAGGGTTACTTAGCCAGCTGTAGCAATCTCTGTGTAATTTAGCAAGCTTTGTAGTGCACCTTCCTACACACCTGTGCTTAGAAGAAATTCCTTAGCAAGCCTTGCAGAGGTTGCCTCATTCTATTGCTAATCACCCTTGTCTATTATCTGTAATCCTACTTCAACAATTAAGATAAAGAGGACAACACCAGCTCCCTAATCTAAAGGAGAGGTGTACACCTGCTAAGGATTCAAAACATAAAACCTATAAACACACTTTTAGCAAAGGCTCACTTATCTAGATTCCTAGGTTATTAATCAAATATGTCATCAACCATGCCCAGTTGCCATCTAATAGGGACCCAGTCTTCCCTAAACAAATCCTTGACTGAGGTTCCAATGTCTAATGGTATGATCAAGTCCTTGATGAGATATATTACCAAGTGTTATTGTTTATACTCTCTGTTCCTGCCTGGCATAAAGAGATGGTTATAGCCTCAGGATAGTTTGAACATTGGTCTAGACCAAACATCTTAGGATGGTGCTGCATATTTGCTGACTCCAAGTAGGCTATCTACTGCTATTCGTGGTGCTTGTGGCAAGCTGAAGGGATGTGGATTGGTGTATCTTTCTCTATTAACTTATCTTAATACTTAATAAAATCTTTTTGGCATTTTGCCATGGTTTGAATCCTAAAGAATCTACTGGGTCCTGGCTGGCCACTAGATAGCAATACATGTATTCTTCTCCATGGGAAACTAGATCCTGAGTAACAATCTCTGAGATGGTTAGAAAGACACACAGTTTCCATCCTACCAAAACCAGAAATTAATATACCAGAAGGATTCAAAAGGTTATATTTTGAGGTTAATATCTGGGGCACAAATCACAAGCTCTTTAACTTCTGAATTTAGCATGCAACGGGTTGAGAAGTTGGCTTCTCAAGTAGGAGGCAGATGAACATTTCAGAGAAAGGGATCCTCAACACAGATGTTTGCTTTGGGTGTCAGAATATGTAGCTGATATTTAGGAAAGAAACACTGCATCCACAAAACCCAAGAAATGTGATGTTCCCACAAAGCTTACAAATTGTGCATTACTAACATATTTTCTCATCCCCAGATCACAAGAAATTAAGCATTATATATCTCTGAAAACATTTGTCCTGATTACATGCCATAATTACAATCTATTATTAAAGTATAAATGAAAAAAGAAACAAATATAATAATATCTGCATGGGGGCAATTTGTTTTAGAAACAAATCTTCATTCTTTCTATGGACAACTTTTTTTGGTAGCTCAAGGTCTCAAATTCACTCTTGCTGTTGCAAAGTTTCATTTGCAACCTGTAGAATCCATGCACTATTGACAGCAAAGTAGAATAAGCTTAACAGTTGTGTATGTGTGTGTATATGTGTGTGTGTGCATGTGTGTGTGTACACACAAAGGGACTTATCCCGGTCTGTGTCCTGTAATAACATTAAGCAAACAAGTAGGCAAAATTGCATTTGGGATCCTTTTTTTTTAAAAAAAAAAAATCCCTTTGAAAATGTTAACTCATTTTTTGTGTCAAAACAAATATTTATATTGCAATCTCGCAGCACCCTGTCAGTGGATCTTTTCTAAGAGAAAACCAGTATAAGGTTGTTTCCTTTATGCACTGCGAAAAGCGCTTTGAATTAAATGAGTTAAAATACAGCAGCTGAATAGTGGCAAACACAACACATGGAGGCTTCCAGGAATAGCAATTTCTCATGTGTGTGTCTATGACGATTCTAAATCCCACCAACAGTAATTGTAACCAGCATGGGATACCATATGGCTGTGACATGAGCTAGACTGAATGAATGAAGGAGGAAAAGATCATTTGGATACCCACCCACACATGTGTGCGCACAAACACACACACACATATAGATTCTCTCTCTCACACACAAGATTTTAACTATAACACCCCCTCAAAAAAAAAAAAAATCCTCGCTGTTTTCATCTAGTTTCTACAAATGTTCATGTACCAATCTAAAGGTTCTGGAAATCCTACAAATACTGTTCAGCTTTGATCTGCACATCCCTTAAGAACTAAGCAAACCGCAGGTAACACAAAAATGCCTATGCCATATGACAATATGAGCTCCTATGATTTTAAAATCCCTGCTGCTAAGCTTCTGAGCAAATCAGAAATATAAATAATACTAATGTTAGAAACATTAATATCTATGATAATATGGCAAATCTGGAAAAAAAGAAAGAAAAAAGAACCTTAAACTATCTGTGAGGTTTTCAGACTGCTTCACAGACTGCAGTGTAAACAGCCTTGGAAAGTACAGAAGGGGCGTTGGTCTTACCTGAACGCCTTTTCTCAGTACGGAGATGGATAATCCATGGATGGGTTTTCTCTGTCTGCCTGCTCTTGAGACCAAGTAGCCAAAGCTTGACACGCCCCCACTTCCTGTGGAGTCCATTCTTAACGAGGGCGAATTGGCTGATGATTGACGAGGTATTGGCTCTCAGCTCCCTACTAGCGGCCTGCTGGCCTTGGGGTGGGTGTGGATTATCCATCTCCGTACTGAGAAAAGGCGTTCAGGTAAGACCAACGCCCCTTCTCCAGTACAGGAGATGGATAATCCATGGATGGGACGTACCAAAGCCTCACTGTCCCAAGGGGTGGGAAACAGATAAGGCCGGTAGATTGATCTCTGAGACAACTTGCTGGAGGACCCTCCTACCAAAGGAGGCATCCGCCGATGCAAAGCGGTCTATCTTGTAGTGTCGTATAAACGGGGAAGGCGAGGACCATGTCGCGGCCCTGCAAACTTCCTCGATTGACGCCTGGGTAGCCCATGCCGCCGAAGTTGCAGCGCTTCGGGTGGAATGGGCTGTGAGATGACTTGGGGGCGGCAGGGATGATACATTGTAAGCTTCTGCGATACAGCTTCGGATCCACCTTCCAATGGTGCCCGCGGAAACTTTCCGCCCCAAGGTGCCCGCTTGGAAGGACACAAATAGGGCCTCCGATTTGCGGAAGGGTTCTGTACGCTTTATATAACGCCGCAAGGCTCTGCGGACGTCCAATGTATGCCACTGCCGCTCCCGGTCATGTGTTGGATTTGGACAGAAGTTTGGGAGAATTACTTCCTGTGTCCTGTGAAAGAGTGAATTCACCTTCGGTATGAAGGCAGGATCTA